CCCTTACCCCTCCCTTCCCTTACCTCTCTTCCCTTACCCCTCCCTTCCCTTACCCCTCCCTTCCCTTACCTCTCTTCCCTTACCCCTCCCTTCCCTTACCCCTCCCTTCCCTTACCCCTCCCTTCCCTTACCCCTCCCTTCCTTTACCCCTCCCTTCCCTTACCCCTCCCTCCCTTTACCCCTCCCTTCCCTTACCCCTCCCTTCCCATGCTTCACCTCTTCGATTACTTTACTCCTCCCTACTCCGCGCTCCCTATGCCCCCTCAGCGCTCCCCTTCCACAGTTTGGGATTCGGTGCGGCTTTCACGCCCAGATTGCGGCAATCTCTGGTTTCGGTTTGCACCTCTGGGCCTCACCACCCTCCCTCCCCTTTCCCCTCACTCGTGGTTCGTGGTTCGTCTTTCCCTCCCCTTTCCCCTCACCACCCTCCCTCCCCTTTCCCCTCCCCTTTCCCCTCCCCCCTCTGCGACACCTGAAGGCTCTGACTCAGCTTCCCGATGCCGACCTCCTGGATCGACTTCACGTAAGGCCCATGGGCAGCTACGTGCGGGGCCACACCTCCTCTGCTGACGTGGTACGTACGAATGTACGTACGAGCAAACACGCACTATCAGGTAGCCGGGCTGCAGCTAGCTAAAACCTCAAACTCTCAAAGCTCTTCGTGATGGGATTAATTGCCTAAAACCCCAAACCCCGAAATTAAACCCCTAGGATTTAGGAAAGAAACTAAAAAGCTGAGCCCCTCGCGAATTGCGACCAACCTTGTGAAAAAAACGACCCGCATTTCCGCAACGTTCTATTTGGCTTATTCGGCAGATTCCCCTTTTTGTCAATTTGCTCAAGGTGTCCAAGGTTCACGTCTTAGGGTCCCCAATAGTGCAGAGCAGTGTACGGCAGTCCGTTGTGGTCCCCTGATGTGTGGCCACCCGCTACCGCCTTGCCGGGGTATACATTCCCTTGGGGTCTACCACCTGGGGGGCGCTGGCGGCAATACCACCTACGGCTGCTGTTTACTGACTGGGTTGTTTCCCTTCGCGCCGCTCATTGCCCGATCTAAATTGCCCATTGCCCGATCTAAATTGCCCATTGCCCGATCTAAATTGCCCATTGCCCGATCTAAATTGCCAATTGCCCGATCTAAATTGCCCATTGCCCGATCCAAAATGGGAGGTGCAGGACTTCATCATTGCTCCGAGTCCTCAAGCTGACCCGCGGGTCGGTCCTTACGAGCTCCTGTTGGCCATTGTGGATCGGCTGAACGCCGACGGGTACCTGGATCCCGAATCGGCTTGCGTGGTTGAGACGTGCGTGTGGGGGCGGGGCGGGAGGAAGGAAGTACATACAGGGTGGTATCTCTACCCGTGTGCAGGCAACCAAACCGTGCTGCAGAGGAGGCGATCGTGTGTTATCGTGAGTTACGTTGTGTCACTGGTGCAACAGGCTCTGTGGCACGTGTGCAGGCAACCAAACCGTCTCTCCCCACCCCCCGGGGTTTTGGCCTTGTTTTCCGGCCCACTTCCGCCCCTCATCCCGTTCCCTGCACTCAGGCGACAAGACCACTTCCGAAACCCTCACCGACCTGCCCCCATCCGGGCTGTACAGCCGCAGCGACTCCAGCCAGAACCGCAGACCCGTGGGTCGCTACCGTCGGCGCCGGGAAATGGCGGGGAGTCTGGGCGTGAGAGTGGCTCGGGAACCAGTGATGAAACCCGAGAACGAAGACACGGTCACGGCCGTGGTTTGCAGCCGCCGCACGCATATCATCACGGTGCAGCAGCGGGGGGTGGGGGTGGTGGTGGTGGTGGTGGTGGTGGTGGTCATGAGGTGGAGAGCTCCACTTGGCTTGGTGAGGGTTACTTGGTGGTCCGCGCGTTACCGAATCCGTGTGCAACATTCTGCACCTTCTAATCCTCCTCGTGTTTACCCGACCGTTGTTTGCCGATCGTCTTGTCGATGTTGTGATGTGTTCACTTTTACTTTTCCATTTCTACTTCTACTTCTTTTTACTTCTATTTTTCTATTTTTTCTTTTCTTTTTCCTTCCCTTTTCTTTAATTTCTTCCTTTCTTCGTCTATTCTTTTTCACTTTTTTTACTTTATAAATGTAATAAAGTATTTTTATTGTCGGCGCGTGTTTGTGTGACAGTGTTTCTGTACCTGTGAGTTTGTCTGTACATCTCTGTACGTATGTTTCAGTCCCGGGCGAGGTGGGAAAGTCAGCTACACGGGGAGCTCTGCACCCGACATGTGCTTTTTGGCGAAACAGGCCGCTAGTTCTTCCTCCGTCCCCGCGTGGGCCGGTCGTTCCCTCTTCTTCCGCTACCTCCTCTGCGGACTGCATTGGACCCCCCCACCGACCCCGACCCCGCTGCAATCCGACCGGCAGGCATGTGGCGCAATCCGAACTCCGGGTGCTACTGCCGTATCGACATCAAGTGCTACCGCCGCCGGCTACTGCCCTTCGCGGTCACCTACTTCGGCAGTGGCATGGACTTTAATCGAGCGCTAAGGTGCGGATGGAGATGCGAAATAGTAGGACAACTCGGATAGATAAGAGCCGCAGGCGTATAAATGTATGTATGTATACCTGCGAGAACAAATTACTGGTGACCGATAGTGACTTATGGATAACGCTACGCTAGGGTAGAACCTGCAACCCTTCCATTTCGTTGGCCCCCTTGATACATGCCGGGGGGGTTTTCTTGGTGCTGTAGTAAACTTTACATGTAGTAAACTTTACATGTTGCCCGAAGTAAGCTGCCTGATGGATTCCCTAAAGGTTGTCGTAACGAAAACCTCCTGTACTCCCACACAGGCATTCACGTCAAAATTTCTAATTTAATTCAAATACACGTGCAATCGACTACATAAGCACACATTAAGCCTTTCCGTCCCCCTCGCTCAGCATGATCTCATTCCGGCCCTTTCCCACTGCATGGTTTTGCTGTTGTGTACTGTACTGCTGGAAGGTACTGGGCCAGTACACCGCTCCCCCATGTACGACAGCTGGCTCAGTCCGTACACCCGCGGGCAGAGGCCTTCCGGCTGAGTGACAAGGGTCTGGAGGTTGTGGAGCGCAGATGGGGCCGGGGGGGGGAACCAGCAGCCGGGGGCCGGGGTGCGGGTACCTCTGGGAGCGTAGCCAGGGAGGGTCTGGCGGAGTACGTCGTGGCTACGGTACCGTGCAGGTGGGGGCGGGAGTTAGGAGGGGAAATGATGGACGTCGGGTAGTTTTTCAGCTGGGCTGTGCTACAGGTGTTTAAAAAAAATGGTTAGGTTTGGTGTCGAGAAAACATATCGCGACGGTGTAAAAAGAGTAAAAACAATTGAGGGGTTACCCCCCCTCCTCTGATACGCGCAATGTGCAGTTTTCTGATGGGGATGGGTTGGATCATCGATGGGTTTGGCCAGCAGGTGACAGCAGCTTTCGGGGGACGGTTCGGGGGGGGGAGACTGGTTCGGGAGAGGTGCTGCAGGTGCTGCATTATTACGTGGGTGAACAAGGTACGACCCGGGGAGGGTAATGCAACTCACAACTGCAATACCACCAGCCCCTTGAACTCATCACGCCCGTGCTCAGGCTCAGGCGCAGTGCTTCCTTACCTCCCAAGGGACATCTAAACCCCAACCCCGGTCTGCTGACTTGCGCCGCACACAAATCAAACCAAACCCATTACGCTAAACCCCTGTTTTGTTACTGCTCCCTGTCGTGGTTATCATCGCACGTGCTATGCAGGTGTGAAACCGATATCTTCCAGGCACTGGGCTTAGATTATGTTCCTCTCCACATGCGAGATATCACCCGTGTGAATTAGCCCCATGGTACTAGGTGCTGGATAGGAGGTCAGCCCGTGGCCGCTAGGCTGGCGGTCCTCCTGTGTACCTCCTCCACGGTTACGAGCGAGGCACCCGCGAGGCATCCACCTCATCCGTGCTGATGACTTGTGCAGCTCTCCCAGCGACCTCAACGCGTTCAGCACCCAACTGGAATTCCGAAACTACTTGTAATCTTAACACCATGGCTGAGGGGTCACTGTAATTGAACGTATCATGATCCTTAGGGGTGGTGTACCTTGATTTGCACGGTCGAGGAAATTACATCTCGTTCTTTGACGGGTTCGATCAGGTGACGTAATTTTGTAATTCTTCAGCACACATGTTCTGTCGAATGCACGCATCGGGATGTATCTCTCATCTTGACTCTTCTTGATAATCTACGGGCTCCACGTGGTACTCGGGTGGATACGCATAGGTGCTGTCTGTGTTTTAGGTATGATAGATTAGATTAGTTGTTGTTTTACCTATGTCGTTGACGAACAGTTTGACCTGGTTTGACCTCGTTTGATTGACTCGCAACGACTTGGAGAAAGATGAGCAATTAAAACGCATGATATGTTCCTAGGAATTTTTTAAAGCTTTGCTGTCCGAGCATGGCCTTAGCTGCTGTGCTAAGGCTATTCTGTACTTCCAAGTACAGGCAAAGGCATCTTGTAACCGCCACAAATGGGCGTTGTAGTAGCTGGCCGCTGAAAAGGGTCTCATCGAAGATGATGGCAGAACGCCGTAGCGTGTGTGTGACTATATTTGTGTCGTACTGTACGACAGCTACTGTAGGCATGTGTGTCATACTGTACGACAGCTTATTACAGGCATGTGCGCCGCGCTGTACAACAGCTACTACATGCTCCAGAACGTGAGGTCCTGGAACATGCAGCGCCGCGTGGCCGTGAGATCTCCCAGCACGCATCCAGAGGAACGGCCGCAAGAGCTGCCACTGACAGGGACAGCAGCTGCCGTGGTACAGAAAGAGTGATGGCGGACAGAGTAGGGGGTTGAACTGGCGTCAGTTTAATGTGAGGGTGCAGGGCACGCTACGCGGGTTTAATTATGAAGAGGTAAGTAATTGCCCCGGGGAATTTACACGCACCGTAGGCCTTCCTACGGCGTGAGGTACACGGAGCGCGCATATGGCGTGCACTGTGGGATGGGCAGCAATTGCATAGAGGAGCTTTGGGGGGTCCGCTGTTCTCCTCGTTGGTGCGTTTTGGACTGGCCTACGCCGTCTATGTTTTAAAAAATTGAAAAAGCTACTAGAAACGCGACCGTGTTTGTGTGTGTTACATGGTCGTGGGTGCATTCCCCGTACCTGCAAACCGCCCAAATACGAGCCGAGGGCTCAAGATTTTATTTTGGATGCTGTTGATATCGTCCTGTCGCCGGACAACTTGGCCAACACCTTGTTGGACTTCCGACGGACTCTGTCGCGCATGTGGCGACTTCGGTGGGATAACGAACATAAGGAAGCCCTTTGGCGGCTGTTTGGCTCTTGATGGTTTCCCTGCCTTTCCCATGCTTAGGGCGCAACTTCAGGGAGGCGTCCCTGCTGCTTTGTGTCCGTGTTGTAGCAGTCGCTCACCTGATGGGTCGACTGGCTTTGCGGAAACGTAGAGTTGACAGTCCTCGCCGAGGCAGGAAGAAGTCCAAAGCACTAGCGTACACAGACGCGTACGAAAATAATCTAGACGGCGGCAGCGGAGTCTTGAAATTTGAACACCAAATAGTCGTGAACCCTAAGTGCCTAGCCATAGCACCCTGCCCGGGTAGCTTATATCTCGGCCTACCTGCCGGAGATTCCCTACCACGGTCCTGCCGTACTAGGATAATGTCGGTGGGGCCGGGGCCCCAGCCCGTTGGGTTCGCTACGAACAACCGCCATGTTCGAGACATGTTACGGGACTCGTAACATGTACGAAACTCGAGTCGAATCGTTAACGAATTATAACAGTTAATTGTTAACAGTAATCGTTGAAATATTCTAAGGGAAATGTAGCGTACTACACTGTGGTGTGCGCAAGGTTTGTGGGGATCGTCGACATCATTTCTGGGCTTGAATTGTTCTTGCATTCCTCACTGCTTGCAAAAAGGGGCTTGACGTATGCTTGACGATCTTGCGACCTTCACCTACGACGCCCGCCTAATGGCCAACATTATCAACGTTGTCCAAGCCACCTACGCCATTGGGATTGCACGTCCTCCTGCTGTCGCGCTTCCGCGCATTGCTGCCCGCATTGACTGGCGTGACGCTCAGCTCGCCAGCGACTATCATATCATGCATTGTGCTAGACCAACATATCGCATCCTGATAAACATGTTACATGGCTTTATGATTTTTTCTGAGTTGTTTCTTTGGCACCATGTCTTGGTTTCGGAGACTATTGGAAACACCACGACCTCTAGCGCACCTCTAACGTCCCCCTAAGTTAACTCTAGTGGAAATAACGAGTCGCTAATTGGAAACACCCTGTTAGTCAGCGCTTCATAACTTTTTTTATGGCTGTTTGCAAAACAAATTGCGGGATGCGAGGCGAAGTGCAGTCTTGCGTACTGCTGAAGTCGCAAGTTGCAAGTCGCAAGTCGCAAGGAACACGCAAAATTTCTATTATGATATTCTATATACGCGAATACGTACGTGTGCATACTCAGTTTGTAGAGCTGATCTCACCATGGGAGAAGTATTGAACCCTTACTACTACAGCAAACAAGTGCGCGAACGTGTTTGCCACCTCTATTTCGACGAGAATTACACGCAAGCGCAAATAGCTGAAGCTTTCGGGCACAGACCTTGCGAGAGGACTGTTCATGCTATCATACAGTCCTACGTGGCTAATGGCGATGTCCTGCCGCTTAGAGGACAAACAGGAACACGCAAACCACGCAAGTTTGATGAGATCGCTGCACAGACGCTCGTGGAGCTGGTGCAGGCCGACGACCAAGCATTGCTCTCCGATCTGGCCACCGCTATGACAAACTTACTGGGCACTCTTTGGAGCGGCCCTGATATTAGCCGTGCATTGTCTGAGCTGGGTTATGTCCGCAAGAAGGTTTTAACCAGGGCATTCGAGGCACGGGAATCAGCTCAGCTGGCATATCACGAGCTTGTGTGACAATATGTTCAAATGGCCCAGAAGCTTCCCACTCTGTAACAGTTTAATTCAATTCAATTCAATATCGTGAGCTTGTGTGCGCGCGCGCGCGCGTGTGTGTGTGTGTGTGTGCGTGTGTGTGCATGTGCATGTGAGTGTGTGTGCGTGTGCGTGTGTGTGTGTGTGTGTGTGTGTGTGTGTGTGTGTGTGTGTGTGTGTGTGTGTGCGTGTGTTGCAAGTATTTGGCCGTGCCTGACACTGGCCAGGGACTGCTGCCCAGCCCCAACGGAAAGACCACCTAAACTCCTCCCGCAGATAGGAGAGGGGTGTAAGGGGCCTCTGTCCCCTCCTAAGCAGCCGAGAGCCGCAGGTCCACTAGTTCCGCTCTCCTCCCCCGGGGGTCAAGGCTCCGTCACGCGAGTTTGAGCACTGAGCCTGAAACACACAAGAAGACTGGCTCTTGGGGTGAGGATTCAAGAAGACCGAGGAAACCCGGAAACCCTGTACAGACCCTACCCCTCCCTAATACGGCACCAGGCCCTAATAGAAAGCTCGGTCTATCACCTGATTCTCCATTGCTTGCCCACAACGGGCGCGGGGGAGCAGGCAGGGTTCATTGTTTGTGCTGAAATCCATAATGACCACCTGAAATCGCCATGCCCCAATGTTTGCATCAAATGCTTAGACGTTTCCGGTTAGGCTGTTGGGAGTTAGAGATTAACCGACCTAACGGCCATGAGTGCACAGCGTGCACCTGCAGGCTTTGTGACTGCGGGGCGGTTGAAGACGAAATGCATGTCTTTGTGGAATACCCGGCACACACTAGTACACGGGCTAAGTACGAACGTGACCTCACATTTCAAGGGTGCAACATGCACACGATTCTGACCGAGGCCCCACCCCTGGCACTAGCCAGGTTCCTCTCGGAAGTCTGGGAGACCCGGCACGTTGCACTAAGGCGCTTCGTGCTCAAGTGGACGAGGGCGGACGACGATGGTCCACCATGTAACCGCCCTAAAAACGATTTACCACCCATGGGCCCCCCAGCTCTTACGGACACCCCCACACTTGTGCGGAACTTGCGCAGACTAGGCCAGTTCCTATCAGTCGGGGTGCCTCGAGGCAGTGTGGTTGTTACAGTGGGCTCCAGACTCACAAAGAGTACAGCCAGCGGGCCAGAAATATACTGCCGCCATATACCCCGTTTATATAACCTGTTTAAATTACACCAACGCACTGGAACAATTGAATCATGCAAAGCTACGTTGAAGACTGGGGTCTCAGGCTCCCAGGCACACATGCTCTCAGAATCCCAGGCTGCCAGGTATTCAGGCTCTCAGAATCCCAGCCTCCCAGCTGCAAGTCTAAATGGCCACCCAAACCGCCAGATAAATATGTTCCCAAATTTAATTGAATACCTGACTGCTAGTTTTTAGCTTTGTTTGCATGTCATGCATTCGCTGGCGCCAACCGTTTGCATCGACGTAGCCCCCAGTATTGTGGATTGCGTTACATGATCCATAAAAGTCATATAAAACTTAAATTTACTATATTATGAGCAAGTTGCATGAGAAATGGGCTCATCGACGCAGTTTGCATGCCGCGCTGCCGGCTTGCGAAAGGAATCTCTGCGCGTACTCTACGCCAGCGCGCGCCGCGAGCACCAGGATTCACTACAATAAAATGTATTTTGCTTAGTGTAAAAATATGTCGGTATGTGTCGGTATGTCCGGGAGGCAAGCTGTGCCGGACGCTCGTCCGTCCGCTCGTCCGTCCGGCGGAGCGTCTGGCAGCTGCCAGCATTCGCCAGGGGGGTATGTGAACCACGTGTATGCCGCGTATGGCCTGCCATTCTTATGTGTCTTAGTCAGCGCTTCACAACTTTTACAAGATGAACTTATGCGACTTTCTGTTCAATGACAGCATTTCGGGCGAGTACGAAGGGCATGTGTCACGAAAAAGGCATGCTGGCACCGCAACCATCATCTCTAGGTACAATGCATACAGCTTAACCCTAAACCTGTATTTATCTTGCTGGACTTATAAATATTGAAAGGGCATATTGGAGATCTCAAGTGTGGCAGTCTTGGCAACTCCGTCTCCACCTGCTGCTGGCGCTGCTGCTGCTGCTGCTGCATGCGCTATCAGATATTATGAGCTTCAGACAGCGGAAATCAGAATCCACTCATTTTGAGGATCTTAATGAGATTGCAAACCGCGGCGATGCAGCAGGACCCTCCAGCCAAGCTTACACTCAGCAGGTTGGGCGGCCCCTGGCAGGCTTACCACGTAAGTAAGCTTTACACAAAAATGGCATTGCAATTTTTATCTATTTATCGACTCCCTCGCTCTCTGACGCATGCATCGCAGGTAATGTGCCCTGGCAACATGGCGGCGTTGTCGCATGCAGTGAACCAGGTTGCGAGGGTTTGGGCTTTGTGAACCAAAATGCTGCTGCAGCCCATTGCATATTGAAGCACAACATGACGCATCTTGACGTTTTCGACGCTACGTTCGGCGCAAGAGACAGCGCCGTTCCTGTCCGAGTTCAGGACATGGAGTTTTCCCTTCGCGACTTCATTGAGGGTTCCGACCTCGGTGAGGAAATGTTCCGTGACAAGGGTACATATTATCATTGTCTTTTTTGTGGGCTGGGTACACTGCCCACGTTATTGCAATGCACCCTTTTCTTGTCTTGGTATTATCAGGCGGGTTTCACATTTTTCACATTATCCTGCATGTGTGTGTTTTGGGCTTTCGTACCGTCAGTATGAGGGTATTGGAAACGATACTCGTCAGGGGACAGCGGTTTTGCCGCTGTTGTGGTACTAATAGCCGAATCGAGGATGAAAAACACGTGTTATTGGAATGCCCAGCCTATAACGATATTCGTGCTGAAGAGGGATTCGATCATCAACAGAGGCGGCCATGAAATGGGAACCAGTACGTCTGGCGAGGATGTTGGAACGCATGTGGGCCCACCGAAACTCAGTTACCCCCTTTGGACGCTAGTCTGGGCTGATGTGCGGTGTTTCCTGTTCTCCGTGGCTTTTATTGCCCTTGGGCCTTCGGCTCGTATGGGTAGTTTTACAGGCATGGGTTTACGCACCCCCCAACCATGTAACACACATACATACATACACACTAGTCACTACAGGAAATCATGTTTATTTTGTCCTGTACCGTAATGCAGGTAACTTAGGTAATCTACCGGTTTGCTTCAGATGCTACGAGGACGGCATGTCATCCGGGCGCTTGCACCTGCGCTTGGTTGCGCACAGGACGGCTCAGCGCCAGCACTCCAAGACAGGTCGTATAGGCAATCGCAGGTAAGCTAGGTATTGACGTTATGATGCGTGTATTCCATTCGATACCTGCTTGCGGTTCACCTTTGCTAATACGTGTCAGAGCTAGCTACGTAGTGTTGCAAAGTGGTGCATACTTAACCTAAGTCCAAATTAAGTCCTGTTTAATCACCGATGTAAGTTGTTGTAAAGGTTTTTTTTAATTAGTATACACCCAAAAAATAATGATTCCGGATTTGGGGCTTTAAAAAAAGGAATGGATGGATCGAAGCCGACTCGTTCATTTTCATCTCTTTGGGGCTGGGATGTGCGCGTTCTGTGTGTGCATGACCCGTGCCTGGCAAAGCATGCCAGTACCTAGCTATGCGCATGAGGATGCCATGCACGAATGAACAACACGGATAACTGCAACATTTGCACGTGGCTCTTGGTTTGCGAGATGATTTGTAACCTTTTGGGGGGGGTCTTAAGGGCCGGAAGCCCCCCCCAGCGCCTCACAGCGAAGTAATTAACTACACAAAATCCATGAAAGCGTAATACTTCATAAATAATGAAAAGACACCCGCTCTTAATGGAAAAATAGCACTAGGTGGTAAAATGGCGTGCCCTTGCTTCTTACATGTGAATTCCCAAGGAATGCTGTTCAGACCATGTGAAAAGTGCACATGCCATATGTGAAAATTTCACAGGACGTCAGGGCACACACATGTCATCACGCTGAGGAACCTTCGCGAACGCCTGGCAGCCCAAGGTGCCGACTGGGCTGCGCGGTGTCCATCTCAAATAAACATCTGGGACAAAGCGGAGGTCCACCGCAACATGTCCAGTGCGGACCTTGATGCAGGAGCTGCACCGCCTGGTGGGCATCAACTTCCGGAGGTGGTGGCGGCAAGGGCAGCAACGGTGGCAACGGCGGCGGCACCTGGGTGTCAACATCGAGCGGTACCCACTTTTCGAGGGCGGAGCAAACCTCAGGCAGCGGCAGCAGCTGTGGCGGCAGCGGCAGAAGAGGTGGCAGGGGGTTCGGGGCGTGTGCTGCTGCCGACATCAGCTGGTGGAAGGCGAGGCAGACCTCCGGCTGCAGCAGCAGCGGCTGCAGCGGCAGCGGCTGCAGCAGCAGTCGTGCCAGGGGTTGCAGGGCATCCGATGCTAGTTGCACCTGGGCCTCCACGGCAAATCAGTTCTCCGGCGGCGGCAGCACCTGGGCCTGTGCGGAGTCCATCGGCAGTGGCGCACATTGCTGGGGGCCCAAGCAAGCCTCCGATGGTGACGGCGACTGCATCGCCAGCAGTGCCTGAACAGGATCTTCGGCGCTCTGCTCGCCGAGCAGCTGCAGCAGCTGCAGCAGCTGCAGCAACAGCGCCAGTGGCAGCGGCAGCGGCACCTATCACACAACCCAGCACCCACTCAGGCCACATCAAAGGTATTATTGACCCCACAGCAGCTCGCAAGAGGCGTCAGGCCAGTGCCAGGGAGGGAAACCTTAAGCGTCGTAAGCTGTGCACTGGTGAAGAAGATGATGATGGTGACAACTTCGACGATGTTGCGCGTGTGGATGGCAACGGAAGTCACGAAGGTAACGAACGACGTGAAGCCGATGTGCCCACCGACTGGGAAAGGAGCGATGACGACGGCTACATGGTTGAGTGGGACGCTCACCTTCGCGATGGGGATCCCAACGACCGCGAGGCGTCGGAACCTGCTGCCATGCGCTGCCAGCGGCGAGATCCGGACACCCAAGCTGCACGTTCGCCTTTGGAAAGCCTGTTAGAAGGTTAGCTTCATGTGGAAATCGTTGCTCTTTGAATGGACTGGAAACAGTTGTCTTCCTGGAGGGTGCCTTTGCTGTAAACAGAAAGCTGTTGTGCACGGTTCAATCTTCTTCCCTCACCAACCGCTAACCTTCCTGACAGGGCCTAATCAGGACTGCCTTTGTCAAACATCGACATGCTTCTCTCATTACTGGACAGGTGCACGAGGTGCATCATCGAACGCAACCACCGAGCACTACCTCAGCGTGATCATGGGAGCAGCCAAAGATGGCAGGTTCGACCCGAGACGCATCCCTCCCGAGCTCAACAACGAGCTTATAAACCTTGGAACAGTGTACAACATGATGGTGTCATTAGACGCCACGCAGGAGGATGTTCTGTATTCGGCCTTTGTACGCATCCTGTCAAAGATTCTGGACACCCTCGACCCCATAACGTAAGTGTGACAAGAATGTGAAGTCTTTCCTTTGCAAGAATAGCGACAACCCAGATGCATGTGTGGTGCTGGTGACCTATGTCGTACAGTATCCTGCTTTGGGTACCCTTCATTAGGAAGGGTAGTAGCTGAACTTACAACTTTACTCGCAATGCAATATGATGTGTGAAACACGGGGGTATATCTTCACCCGTGGCAGTTAGCCTGCAAAACCCTGCCTTCCCCGGTATTTCGGGGCACCCTCATCCAGTCACCCTTGTCAACTTCTCAGTGGATCGCTCAGGTTCCGCACCCACCACCAGCATCCAACGGAATCTGCCGGGTCGACAGCGGCCCAACTCCATTCCTGATCGGCTCGCAGGTTAACTTTATCCCAGGTCACCACCGTCCATCAGCTAGGGGGCCAATACCTTCCACCATCGAAAGGATTTTCGACCCTGATAGGTCTCGATCCCGGGATCTCCCGGGGGCAATGGTCGCGCATTACCAATAGTAGCAAAATGCATTGGGTCACGATTTTCGTCCACATTTGATTCCCCATGTTAGTAGGATGGCCGGTGTCGGGGCATCCTACGACCAGAGCAAGGCCACCATTGCTGGGCATCGTGAAGCTGCTGGAAGACTGAAGGCCACCAGGGAGAAGGTTGTGAAGCCACTGGTTGAGGGGTTGGAGCTGCTTCTGCGGGAGCTGAAGGACCTCTACGCTGCACTCGACAAACAGGCGGCGGCATGCTTGGATGCTGCGAAGCACGAGGAAGCGAAGTCAGCTTACCGCTACTATCAGGAGATGAAGACCGACGTCGTTGTGAACGACATCTTGGTCTTGGCGGCAGATGCCATGCCAGAGCGCTATATGAACGACGTGATGAAGGATCTTCTTCGGAGTCTCAAGCAGCGGCAGGCAAACCTTCCCAAGCGTGTAAACGACCCTGGAAGACCACCAGTGCTTGGCAACGACAGGCATCTGGAGGAACCCCAGGTCGTTATGAAGCTTGGTATACGGCTCAACGGCGTTTTGCAGATTGCCAAGCTCTGTGGGATTCCAGTCAGCATCACGGGGCCAGAAGAAGTGCCAAGTCCCCTAAAGGGGCTGAAGGCCACCAGTGCACTAGGCGGGCCTCGCTCTGGAGAGGGGCTCAAGGCGGTTACCATGCAAAGCGTGTCTGGTGTGGAACCAGGGTCAGATGAGAGGGAGGTGAAAGCGTTGGAGAAGTTTGTGCGCTTGGATGCACACGCAGTTGCCATGGAGCAGAAGTACCGCTCGATGCTCCTGTTGTCAATTTTCACCAGTGAAGAGCTGGCTGCAGCACAAGCAAGTGCGGAGAAGGCTGCAGAGGAGGCGATCGTGTGTTATCATGAGTTACGTTGTGTCATTGGTGCAGCAGGCTCTCCGGATGAGCAGGGCCTTGCAACTCTTGCTCAAGCAGCAACCTCAAATCAGCCATCTTAGTGTGCTGCCATCGCGGCTTTCACCTCCGTTGCGCAGCCAAGCAGGCTCTGAGGGTGGTGTCCATAAGGACCTGCCATCACAGCCTTTTGCCAGGGGTCCTGGGACTCAAGTCATCCCAGAGATATGCCTGGAGGACTGCCTGGAGGAGCTGCCTGATGCACGGCTACTGGGAGCACCAGTCAGTGGATTAGGAGCACCCGAGTCAGGACTGCTGCTTGCAGGGCTTGGTGGCAATGGTGGGCAGGAGGTGGATGGGGACGAGGAGGTGGCGAAGGGAGAGGATGCAGAAGGAGACGAGGAGGTGGATGGGGACGAGGAGGTGGATGGGGACGAGGAGGTGGATGGGGACGAGGAGGTGGATGGGGACGAGGAGGTGGCGAAGACAGAGGATGAGGAAGGGTACGAGGAGGTGGATGGGGACGAGGAGGTGGTGAAGGGAGAAGATGCAGAAGGAGACGAGGAGGTGGATGGGGACGAGGAGGTGGCGAAGACAGAGGATGAGGAAGGGTACGAGGAGGTGGATAGGGAGGATAAGGGCGAATGAGAGGATGATGATGATGATGATGATGATGAGGCGGCTGGGGAAGGGGTGCAGGGGGGTAAGGCCTGACGGCTGGCAATGTTGAGGAGTGGATACTTTGATGGAAAGTGGCGGGGCACATCTAGTTGTGGAGGCGGTTTTCAGGAGATGGATGGCGTTTGAAGATGGAGAAAAGCGTGTGTGTCCAAGATGGGAAAAACTGTCGGCCCCGGTGTACGGGCATGCCATGTTGTACTGCTCGTTGATACGCGGCGCATACCATGTGGGACAGGACAGTGATACTTGTCCGTGTTGCGTGTTGCTCCACGAGTTACCAATAAGGTTCAAGCCTTTTGCCCTTATCGTTTTGTTGTGGCCTTGTGCACTCCGCACGTGCGGCATGTTTTGCAGGTGCTCTCCTGGACAGCAGATGCAACGGACCAGAAAACATCTCCGTACAAATACCGTCCAAAACTTTTAACTTTGCTGTGTTAAGCAATGCTACGTTTCTCCTTGCTTCGCTTTGAGTTGGGGTGCTGTCACCGCAGATGTGCGGTGCTGGGTTTCTGTTGAGCCTTTGCAGTAAGGACCAGCAGTAAGGACATACGGATATATGGTGATGAGCGTGAACACGGCGTCCCAAGGCGTTGTGTAGGAGGTGTCATGGGTCTAAGGAGCAGGTTGAACGTGAGGGCCTTAATCGCAGTTTGGCACGCGGTTGCACACACACACGCACGGGCGAATGCCGCTGGTCGGGTCACAGAGCGAAATTGCAGTGCGTTTGTAACTTCATTAACTCGCGGTCCACAAAATTCAGCTCAGAGCCTAGCAGCTTCCCGCGGTCCCAACGCATTACAGGCCGCGTCGTAGAACTGCAACAATACAGTGCAGGCCCGAATGCACTGAAATATTACAGAATTATAAACCTTAAAAGCCATGCTAACAGATTTCCAAAATACTGCACCATCAAGGAAATCGCCTTCTGCTAATAAAAGGAATTCGTGAACAATTCCGGGACCCGGAACTGCCGCAAAGGCGGCTAAGAACAAGTCTTCATCACATCCGCAGCTCTTGCATATACTTGCATTTCTCCAGTACAAGTAGACACATGTGTAAAGGGTGCTCACTTATTACCGGGGGTTATCGTACATAGGCCACCATCGCATGCCCTGCATGAGAGCATTACTCACCCATCGCATGACTTTCAAATTCATGGTTTCCCGCCAACGAAGGGCAGCACGAAGAAGTTGACTACGTGGCTCAATGAGGTTTCTCGCGAGGAAAACAGTAGCCTCCTTTTTGTTACCGGCGGCCACGGTTTTACCTCAAGGTATAAAGACGATTTTAGCCGTTCCTCCACACTGTACGATTCGTAGTTGTAAGTTGTATGCACAAGTCAAAACGAGTTCGGGCTCGCCACCGTGGCAAGCGGTTTGCTATCCTAATTCTCGGCTGCCACTCTCGACGCCGGGAACAAAAAAGTTGAAATCAGTATATTATCAGCATGCAACTATAGTTAACAGCACAGCGAGTGCCTTCGGAGTGAGTACTTCAGACTTCGATTCAGACTTGGGTGAAGACAGCTGCACGCAGCTATCGGACACAGTTATCATGACAAGCCACAAGGGATTTCAACTTGTCGTCGCCGCGACGCCCAGCCTGGGCATTGGCAAGAACGGTACTTTACCTGGATGGAAGCTGCCAGGCGACATGGCCTACTTTCGTGAGCTGACTTCGCGAACCCGCGAACCGTCCTGCCAGAACGTAGCCATTATGGGGCGCAAAACCTGGGAATCCATCCCTAATAAATTCCGGCCGCTTAAGGGTCGCATCAACATCGTTCTGTCCCGCGCTTTTGCCATCAGCGAGAGTAGCAACGATGAGAACAGCAGCTCGGTTGCCAACCAGCCCGCAGCAGGCAACTCTCCGGTGCCCAAGGCAGACGCGTTGGAGATAGCGCGGCGCAACGGCGCACAATTCGGCCCTGATGTTTTGGGTTGCAGCAGCCTGGGTGCGGCTCTGGAGCTGCTGGAGGATGAAAAGCTAAAGCGAGATGTCGATTTCGTGTTCGTCATCGGCGGGGCCCAAGTTTACGCGGAGGCCTTGCGCCACCCCAGCTGCACTGCCGTGCACCTAACGAAGGTGGGCACGGTTTGCAGAGCAGCCGGGTCCTCCAGATGGACTCAATATATTCATTCAACCTGCGATGTAAGACGAATCTAACATGTCAGCGAGATGACAAGACACAGACAGTCCCAGCCCTGGCTGGGAGTCAAATGATTTTCCAGAAGGAGCTAAAGCTTCGGATTGTCAGAGCGGTGCTTGCCGTGAGATGGTCTCCTTCGTCTAGGTAGGACAGCCAGATACAGAAAGGGGAGACGCTTAAGGCGCCGAACACGCAGAGCAAGATAGATTGCCCTTGCTGTACTTGCCGTAACCTCCCCTCTGGGAAGAACGTTTCCGTTCCAGGTTTGTCGGTCGAATATCCTCGGGCTTTAATTCACATCCTGGATTGATTCCCGGCCGCATCAGTCGATTGCCATTCTGGGTCCTCGAGCTCGGCTGTAATCTGATCTGGGTCGGCTGGGTCCGCGGACACTCGTGCGCGTTTTGGGCAGCATATTACGGCGTATGATCCACACCAACTGGACATGCATCTCAGTGCCAGGGATCTGGTGCAAGACGTTTGGATGATCCAAACTCAAATCATTCGGCCAATTCTTCTCTAAAACATCTTTGAAGTCGTCACTGAGGACCCGCCACCTAGACGTCCCCAATCTCGCCACTTTGCGCCACTTTGCGCCAGGTACCTTGAGCACGTCAGTTCACGTCAATCCGCGGGCTGTGTTGCGATTGTGTTGTGTTGTTTCCGGTCAGTCATCTAACGAACTGCTTTCTGGATAAATCACGCAACGGCATTTTGGCACTTTTATGACATGGGCAATGGCAATTGACTGGTCACTGGTCCTTTCCGTCATGGTTTGATCATCATGTATTGGTTGTGGTGACACAATTGGCCGACGCAACGACTTCACAGGTGGAGAAGGAGTTCGACTGCGACGCACATCTACCGCCGCTGGACCCCTCGGTGTTTGGCGTGTGGTCAGCCAGTGAGCCTTTCCAGGAGAATGACACAAGGTTCGGCAGCCGTACCTTGCCGCGTCCGAGCATGCGCCATGAAAAAAAGATCATATGCAGCGTTGCAATTGTTGCTTCGCGAAACCTTTCTGGAGGGCCCCTTCCTGCTTAAGGCACAGCCAGCTCGAAACAGACATTCGCGTCTTACGTGGCTCAAACGCGACAATTGCCGTAACTTATGGCTTGGTCTCTTGAGATTTTGCAATGTGGCACCCGGGAAGAGGTGATGGTGTTCTTGTGTGTGATGCGTCAGAGAGGCACGGGGGGGAGGGTTTGGGGGCTCTGCCATGCCGCTGGGTGTGACTGCCACCCTGTACCCTTTTGTATCCGCACACATTTCCATAAAAATCTCAGATTGAGGCCCCGTTTGAGCATGCTACATCTTACTTCGATGTGGCCCTGATGTAATGGCCCTGAACTGTGGTTACCGGACTATACCGTGCGCTGCGTGCTCTCCTCTCCCCCCCCTTGTTCCTCCCTGTTAAGGTACTCGTTTGTGTGCTACACGCGGCGGGGTCTGTCGCCACCGCCTGAGCTGCCACCGGGGATGGCGTCGCGGCATGATGAGATCCAGGTGCGCGTGTGCGTGTGCGTGTGTTTGGTGGGGGAGAGAAATTGTACAACAGGACCCTAGTCCCCCGGCCGTCAAACATTCTACCAAATCCTCATTGGACGCTTCATACTTGTCTCATACCTGTCTCTTGGACATACTTTGAAGGGGGTCCGCAGGGGGGGCCGTTAGGGCCGAAAGTGTTGGCAGTGGTGGGGAGCGTTCCTTTCCATCAGGTTAGACTTTGCCGCCGCCTCCATGCGCATCCTTGTGGGTTGGTAGTGTGCAGGTACCCCGACCACCCTTCCCCCCCCCCTCCACGAAGAATACATCCGTGTGCCATCTACACCCACTCACAATCTACCCACAATCAAATCACAAACACCAATTCGTCCCATGTTGAGTATTTTCCGTGCTGTTTGTTTCATCTGTTTCATCTGTCCAGTACCTGGAGCTCGTCCGCGAGCTTATCACGAGCGGCACCTTCCGGCCCGACAGGACGGGCACTGGCACCTACTCGCGCTTCGGCCGCACTGCCCGCTACAACCTTCGACACACCTTCCCTCTGCTGACATCCAAGCGAGTCTTCTGGAAGGGTGCGTGTATTCATGCATACGTGCGTACGTATGTATGTATGTGTGTATGTATGTATGTGCGTAAGCGGTGGAATGTACGATTTTGTCGAGGGGGAAGGAAGTGGGCATCGGAAGTATGTGGCAATGTAGGTTTCCCGAGTGCAAGGAGGTGTCTGTGTGATAAGTGTCTTCACGATAACTGCACAGCGGTATGGTTGTTTTCCGTTTCCCCTTCCCCCACACCTCACTCCTCCCATTCACATCCACAAGTTTGAAAACTCCCTCCTAAAAAACACCTTTGTACGTCAGTAACTCTCGCTCACCCGCTCCCCCAGTTCCCACCTTGACACACGGGATCATCCTACAATCCTACCTTCCTCTCATTCCCTGTTACCTCGTAGCTATCTCGCTGCTATCTCGTTGCCCTCAACAACAACAACAACAACAACAGTCACGTCCCATGTCTGTCTTCAGGTGTGGCCGAGGAGCTGCTCTGGTTCATCCGCGGCTCCACCAATGCCAACCTGCTGCGTGACAAGAACATCCACATCTGGGACGGCAACAGCACCCGCGAGTATCTGGACAGCCGTGGGCTGCATCACCGGTGAGGGGCTTGGTTTTATGCGTCAAAAAAGAATTTTATAAGGAGGGAAGCTTTCACTGGCGCATGATGGCGGGTGCGCACTACTGTGGTTACGATGCACTGGGTTTACGCGGAGCAAGGGCGCGCCGTGCTGCCTTGTTTTCGTGCGTGCATGCGTGGTGCCGTGTTTGTTTATGTTGGCAATTGCCTGGTATTGCAATCCGTGTGACGGGCTTCGTCTTGAGTCATGGTGATATTCGGAATGGGAAGGCTGGTTAGCGCATTCACAAACCCGTCGCACGGTCAGTCCCTTGACGCTGTGTGAGGGTCCGTGGAAGGCCGGACCAATGCGCTCGCTTGCGGGCCTCCTGAGCTCATGTTCATCTATGGCTACAGGAAAAAACTTATTCCATGCTTTACCCGTGCTTGCTCTGGTCACCTTTTTGATTTCTTGTTGTTGTTGTTATTGTGCTGAATGAAGTTTTTTAAAATACACTTGGGTCTTCTTCTGGCTCCAGGGAGGTTGGCGACCTAGGACCCGTGTACGGCTTTCAGTGGCGACACTTCGGCGCGGCGTACAAGGACATGCACACCGATTACACGGGTGAACAGAACGAGGACAAGGACGAGGGCAAGGGCAAGGACGGAAGTGTCCTGAGGGGACCTCCTCCGTTACACCGAGGGTTCGCATCCTCCTCGGCGTTCGTGTTTCCTGATTAGCGCGTGTTAGTTGTTGGAAGGGGAGGGGAAGAGAGAGCGTCGTGGGACCCCTGTGCGGCGACCATGGTTGGGGCCCACGTGTCATGGTTTTGGCGAACGAGCGTGTGAACGCTCTCGGCACCCGCCGGCTCGTGTGTGTGCCGCTCTGCAGGTCAGGGTGTCGACCAGCTAAAGGCCATCATCGAGCAGATTCGCAAGGATCCCAACGACCGCCGCATGATCATGTCGGCTTGGAATCCCGCGGCATTGAACGAGATGGCGCTGCCTCCGTGTCACATGTTCTGTCAGGTGCGATAAAGATGAGGGAGTGGCGGCCCTCTGCATGGTACGCTGCTGTGCTGTGCTGTGAATCTTATTAATTCACCTTTTTAAATCGCCCTTTTTTTAAGACATGTCCTATTGAAATGGAAATTTTTGTAAGTTGGCCTGCGTGGTAATTGACAGTCTGGTCCGTGCGGTCACCTACTTGTCTGCAACTGAACAACTGTTCCAACGAAGAAGCTGTCTGGGTCGGCTGGGTCGGATTCTTTCCTCGCTTTCCTAGATCCCCTATCGGGCGCACCAACGGACGCAATTTTTTTTATATTTTCTCGATGTGTTTTTGCATTCATTGGGTTGCGTTGTGTTGTCTGGTGTTTTTCTTCATTCGGCTGGCTTGCCCGTTCGTCCGTACCTGTTCGGCAGTTCTATGTGGCGGACGGAGAGCTCAGCTGCCTCATGTACCAACGCAGCTGCGACGTGGGGCTGGGAGTGCCCTTCAACATCGCATCCTACGCTCTGCTCACCCGCCTCGTGGCGCAGGTGTGCGCGCACAGAGGCGCTAGTATTACCTAGCGGCGAAATAAGCGATTAAAAGGAAGATAGGCCGTACGATGGGGCACTTGCGTGCATTGCCGGTATGTCGTGTGTCTTGTGTGCATTGCATCGGGCCTACCGGACGAAAGCAGGGTGCTTGGTGCGGGGGTAAATAGCCTCTGCTGCAAGCTCTGGCAGCGTGCACGATGAATATTCGTTCCTGTTTTGTGCATCTGTCAGGCCATTGACAGGCTTGACGCACGATGTTCTCCCACCCTCACGCACTTTCCGATTTCAGATTTCGAGCAGCCTTTTTGAACAGGCTGATTTCAAAAAACAACAACTTCGTCTTCTTCGGATCAGTCGTCGTTTCGAGGACAATGGTCTCATGTGCGTCTGCGGCTTGCGGGCCCCTGGTGCCACCTTTCCCTGCAGGTCACGGGGCTGCGCGCCGGGGACTTCATTCATGTGATGGGCGACACGCATGTGTACGCCAACCACGTGGAGCCGCTCAAGGAGCAGCTCAAGAACACGCCCCGGCATTTCCCGGTGTGTGAGTGTGTGGAAAGAAAACAAGACAGCGATTGTATCTGTGTATATCTGTATGTGTATGTCTGTGTCTTCGTGCATGTGTCTGTGTCTGTGTCTGTGTCACGTCTAGCTTGATGATTGCGCCATGGCAACCCATGGAAGGGTCACATCCTTCTGTGTGGTCCGCATCCTTGGTGTTTCCTTTCCCCATACGGACATGCACTCGCTCTGTGTGCAGATCCTAAATATAAATCCCGCCAAGACGGACATCGACTCCTTCGTGTTTGAGGACTTCGAGTTAGTCGACTACCAACCGCACCAGACCATCAAGATGAAGATGGCGGTATGAAGATGGCTTGTGAGGCGGTCGGACTGTGACAGTGTGAATGCGGAGTCGTTCGCATCAGTCCATCAGCCTAGGACGATTCGCGAGGAGTGATGTGGTCGGATTATGTGTCTGACATGGGTTGTTGAAGTTGGTAATGTCAGCCCAATCAAAAGGAATGAGATAACATGCGAAGAACGTACTTTTTCGTTACCGTGTGTTTTATTAAGAGGAGGACGTGGAAAGTGGTCCCTCCGGGTTCGGTGTTGTGCGGCGGGTTGCAGCGCTGCATGTCTCTCCCCGGGTGTGCCTGCAGGGACGGACGATTGCAGGGACAGGTAAGCCTTCCGTTCCGGGGATAGCGCCTGCACTGCGACTGCCGGCACAAGATCGGTGCCGGCAGTCGCAGTGCAGGCGCTATCTTGTGCGTCCATACCACGGAGGAGTGAGACCTCTTCCATAGGTGGAGGTCCCTCGGGAAAATAACCTTTGACTGTGAATTGGACGTGAACGTGCATGCGTGGTCATGAATGATGAGTTCGCTGGTGTAATTCTTGTCGTTCTGGCTGGTTGTTGTATTTTCAAGAAGCAGTTTGAATTGATTAGTTAAGATACCTCTCAGAGAGGTGTATGTGTGTGCGTATGGGTGGGAGGGGAAGGTAGTTACATCTCTCCAAATGCAACGGTGTGTCGGCACTTGGCCAGTGGAACACTAAAGTGAATCGGACTGATGAAGCACTTAGCAGTAAATTCGGTAGACAGATCTTCTGCAAGTTTTTTAGCCGGGTATAGTCATAGCCGCGTTTCGTCATGTGCTATGTTCAAGTGACGGTAAATATACCATGATTTGCCTGTGGTCATGGTAATGCTGTAAAGAGCGGATTGTAGTTTTTCAATGGACAAAGGCGGCAACCGTGATCGCTGTTTCCATATTTCCTTTTTTATTATATCTCCTGAGCGACAGGCCTGCGAACATTTATTATACTGGCATAGGTCCGAAAAATGTACATAAAACATAAAACCCTGGCAAAAGCAACCTTGGAATAGCAGACGCCTGCATCGCCGTAAGCACCTTGCTCCCACTTTTGCACGTGCCGCAAGCACGTGGCTCTATCACCACCATCATCACTCCTGCCGCCTGCCGGGAATGTACCATACCTCGACAGCAAAACTATATGGCCGATTGGGTTCAGTACCCCGATTGCTATGGGCCCCGGGCATCAGGTCATTAGCCAAATCATTCTGGGGACAACCCTCTCTGCGATAGAGGGCACTCCACTTTCCCTCCAACAATCAGCCTCTCAGGCTCACGAAATCGTTCGAAACCGAATCACACGATCGGGAAAAATACCAGTTTCCAATCGACGAAATAATGAAGCCGACAGGGTTGGTCCGCGTACTCATTGTCGTATTGCTCGCCATACTACGAAGTTCTAAACAACGATTGTTAAACAGTAAGTGACGAACCAACAGAACACCCACTGTTCTGCAGTCCGAAGGTGGCAACTGCGCGCACGCTACACACGGAGTTAAGTTCCTTAGGCAGGAGTGGGGTTGCAAAACCATAACGCGAACGATGCGAAATAGTTTGATCATCTTTCTGGTTGGTCGGACCGTTGATACGAGCTTACGACCAGTCGGTAAGGACACAGCCACCCTGTCTCCTCTAGCCAGCCAACCATCTTTTCGTCGTTGCCTCCAAACAACGAAAGAAATGACCAGGGCTGGAATGGATGCGATCGAAGTCTATATGTTTCGTTGTCCGGCGGAGCGAATAAGCATACACAACGGCCCTGAGGCGTAACTTCAAAAGCCCCAGGCACGCACGCGCACACATGTCCTCAAAAAGGTATAATTCGGACAAAACGATCTAGGTAAAAAGCCGCAGCAGTGCTAAATCATGCTAATCTCGTCGTTTGGATCACACGACACCACACCAAAGGACGGATCACCTGTTGCCCTCGCGACCATAACACGCTCAAGGGGGCAGAGCTGCGCAGGGTTTCTGATCCGAAACTACCACAACCACCACAACCACCAATTTGGCCATAACGGCCTCGACCATCATAACCGCTCCAGTCCAGTCCAACGACGATCCTCCTACCTGTCTTGCCTTCTGTGGTCTACCGGGCAATGGTTGCGGTACGGCAGCGACGGCCGTACGTAAAGACAGACATGCCGCCAAGCCCAGCCAAAGCGACCAATAAATACTCTCGCGAGGTAGCCACTCTGCGTCACCACACCACACCACACCACACCACGCCCCTACAGCTCTCAACATGCGCAAATTCACTCAATACTAACCTAGCTTCATATCCCTTCCAGCTCAACACACGAAACCAAACACAAACATGCACACTGAGGCACACCGACACAGTCCTGCCCGTAGCTCATATCATTAAAGCACACAGACGTACAGAAACACAAACTCCCCAATCCCAACCTGCGAGAAGCAACATGCACAGTCTCTGCATTAACCTCTGCGGACGCGGCATCGCGGGGGAGGGGAGCAACCTCCCCGGGAACCAGACTGGAGCACGAAAGTGAACCTCCGGGGGCGGATATCGTCTATGTGATCGGAGAGAGAGAGAGAGAAAGAGAGAGAGAGAGAGAGAGAGAGAGAGAGAGAGAAAGAGGGAGGGAAAGAGAAAGGCTTTATACCGGCAAGCAGTGCTGAACCCTCTGCCCCTTCCCCTTCCCTCCCTCCCTCCCCTTCCCTTTCTGCGCCACGGGTCGCCACTCCGCCAGTACGCCTTTCGCAGCCCCTCACTCACTCCGCTTCTGGAATGCCGCACGCTGCACCTCCTGCTCCACCTCACCCTCTTCCGACACCCTCCACAAAGAAAACCCGCATAAAGCCCCTAGACAGAAAGCCCAGATTTAATAACCCGAGGTAAAGCCCATAAGCCGAAACCCCCATAACCGACTACGACTCGCGATCCTCAAGGTGGAGGCATCCAGGAGCCGTTGCAGACTGGTGAAGCGCTGGCCCCTTAATGGTGTTGGTTGCGTTGGTAGTTGTTACAGCAACCGCCTTAACGGTCACCTGGGGCAGCACCACCACCTCCGGCTGCTGCGGCGGCGGGGCGTCCTCGTCACTGCCGTCGTCTTCGTCATCGTCGCAGTCTCCGTCGCTACCACCCGAGGTCCGCGGCTCGTGTCCGTTTGCCGCCGTTCCGTTCACTGTTGTCGACTTCGAGTGGGTCTTCGCAACTGCCAGGTGGTGCTTCCCGGCGGCGGCTCCTGCTCCTGCTGCTGGTGGTGGCCCAGCCGCGTCGGAGGCTGCGGATGGCTGTGTTGAAGGGGAAGTGGCGGTGGCGGCGGTGGGTGACGGCAGCTGCACTCCGAGCCAGGGGCCCACGCTGTCCAGGGAGGCCTGCAGGGCGGTCAGGGCGATTACCGTCAACCGTGACGTGTGAGGTGGCGGATGAGGTGACGTGTGATAGGGGGGAGGTGGATTGAGATCGATGAAGGTAATCAACGTGTGAGGTGAGAAGTGTATTCGTGAGGTGAGAAGTGCATCCCCTGAGGAGCGAATTCGGTTATACGGTTGCAGCGGGTCTGGGTGCTCGAGTGGACTGGAATGAGCCAGATCCGCCGATTTGGGTCACAAAATTTGAATATTCAAATTAAGAAAAACGCACATCGAGAAATTTTATTACTCGTAATAATAAAGGTATCGGCTGAGTGCTGGCCAGTGGGTCACGGCAGGAATAAAACCAAAAGGAACACCACACAACACGATATCCCGTGGACACCGGGCTGGTGCGTGTTGGCCTGGATTAAAGTACAAATTCGTTTCAATTCCAAATCACGTGAATCTGATCTCACCACAAAGGCATGCCTTACAAAAAAACCCAATCCCTACCCTTCCCTCCCTCCCTTCCATCCATCCCCCTCCTGCTCACCGGCACCTCACTCAGGCCTCCCAGACATGTGGGCAAGCTCTCCACAGGTATGAGCTGGCTGACCGTGGGCAGGTAGTCGGAGCCCAGGATGACGATCTTGCGGCGGGTGCGCTCCTCCAGCAGCGGGTTTACCACCGCCCAAATGAGGCGGAACACGGTGGGGGTGTTGATGATGAACATCTGACCTAGGGACTCGCAATAGTAGTCCTGGCGGGGTTTTTAAGAGTTTTTTTGAAAAAGGGTTTTTGAAAAATTTTTAAGGTTTTCTTTCAAAGTTTTCTTAAGCTTCAAGGGTTTCATAAAGGATTTTCTAAGTTTTAGTCGTGTTGAAGTGGAGGTAAGAGATGGGGGGGACGCAGGTGTGAGGCGGGAAATTCAAATGCACGATTCAAATGCGCAAAAGATCCAACTCAATCCTCCCCTTCCCTCCCCCATTACCCGTTGCTTCTTCTTGCATATGACTCTCCAGCCCTTACCCTGCACTCCCCTCTCATTCGAGGGAGGACGAACTGACCTGGTCAATAGCTGCCACCGTCTTCAGAATCTTCTGGGCCGCCGTTCCAAAGGTCTTCATGGACATGCCCTTGAAGTCCAAAATAACGGACTTAGTAATGATGGGCCGACCTGGGGAGGCGGGTTGGCGGCAGGAGGACACGGAGCAGAAATCACAGCGGGCGATATGTGCGTGCACGTGTGTGCATGTGCGTGCATGTGTGTGCATATGTGTGTGTACAAATCCAAATATCAGGCAGAACGCAGAAGTCGGGGCCGGTGTCCGTCAGGAGGCACTATACCGTACTGTTTCCTCCTCCTCCCACCCACACCTCCTCCCTCCAACTCTTCCTCCCCCCCCGCCAACCTCACACCATGTGTGTCTGAATATGGGGGCCAGCCCAGCTCCCCTGCATTTCCCCTCTACCCTCAACCGGCGTAACTGCTTCCCTAACCCCTTTACCCCGTACCCCACCTCTCTTCATCCCTCCCCCCCTCTCTGCTCTCCGCCCCCGAACAGCTTCCTCCCACCCGCTCCAAACCATTCAAGGATCAACGACCCGCTTTCACAGACATCTCAATACCGCCTTTACCTCCTTCACTAAGTAAAAGGAACCCGTACCGTGCATCTACGGGCATTAACATTTGGCTCCGTACCGTACATCTGAAACACCCGCACCCACATAGCGCCCAACCCAAAAAACCATCCGCATTGCACCTTGCGCCCCGAACACAAAAACACACGAAACACCCCCGGAGTAGGTTCACCCGGCGTTTCCCCACCCAGCCCCCCGGCCACGTCCCCAAGTCTCACCCGCCAGTACGGAGCAGGCCGGCAGTACTCTCCGCATCAGATTCTCCCAGTCGCAGATGTGGTAGTGCATGAGGCGGTCCAGGGTGGTGGCTTCCAAAATCTTGGCTGGATCCGTTTGGCCGAGCAGCTCAATGTAGACTGGCCTGCCGTACTTGTCGATCTTGTGATAAAAATGCGGATAATGCTGAAGCGTGGGTTGGGGACGTGTGTTTGGGGCCGGGGGGAAATGGGTTTTTGGGTGAGGGGAAAAGGGCGGTAAGGTGTAAAGGGGGGGGGAACACCCTGGTACCTGGACTCTTATGTTTGGTTCAAGCCATGCGTGTCTAGGCAAAAGGCCGGGATTTGAAGAAGACGGGTAGTGGGTGTGGGGGGAGCCGGGGAAAGGGCCTGGCATGGCTGTAGCGGTGGTGGTTGGTGGTTGCCGGGATAGTTAACGGGGACCAGTTCCCCCAAACAGAGGCAGCGGCGGATGAAACATTGCGCCAAATCGACTACATATTAACATATACCAATATAGCAATGCAGTCTAAAAAATGATTTGCATCACCGCGCATTGTACGGCAGGCGCCCGTGTGGCACCCTGGGTTATTAGATAGGTAAATTGAAAGGACACAACCTTTCTCTCCCTTGCATATTTCACGCCCCTCACATTCTTCCACACACACACACACACACACACACACACACACACACACACACCTTTCCTTCATTCCCGCACCGCCATCCCGTCAACCTCGTTCTTTCCCTCGCGTCCAATGCACGCCCGGATTGCTGGGCCCGAAGCCCGAAGCGCATCATCAGGCTATTTCAGGAGATTTGGTCGGACATGTTCCCAAAGACCCGAGCACCAGCTCCCCAGAATGCAGGCCCCCCTTCGGCGCGGCGGCGAGCTCCCCCTTTTTCCGTTTCCCCCCTTTTACATTTTCCCCCTTCTCCATTTCCCCGCTTGTGCCAAAACCCCTCATCCAGATCCACTGAACAGGCTCCCCCCAAGCCACTGTAAGTTGGTGCGTCAGGTGCCACAGCTCCAAGCCTCCTCGCACAGCATTCATTGAGGCTGCCGCAGGACGTGCTTCCCCTCTAAATTTGGGGCTGTCTCAGGTGACAGTAAAAATAGTTCATTTTTTCCAAGCTCACCCGAAGGACTTGCTCGCGCTCTGGGAAAGTGAAGGTCTCATACAAGTGATCGGTGCGCTGATCAGTCCGCCATTTAACCATATTTTGGTACATGGTTGCGGCCCGTTGGACATCCCATTGCCTCGCTTTTAGGAACCGCAGCAGCGTGTAGCAGTCGTCATGACCTTTGTGCAACGCCCCGGCCTCCTTGAGGTGCCCCAGAAGTCTGTCGTAGGCTGATTGTTGTTCTGAAGTTAGGTTTAGGTACCAAAAAGCTTCTGTCTCTGTCTGGACACGTTGAATTGCAGGACCGAACAACGACATTTCGCAGCCCTTCAACCTGCAAGTGAGTTATCTGTTCGGCAAGACCTAGACCAATACCATCAAGGGATCAATAATCGTTCTCTGCACTCGTGGCTGGAGACAGCCGTATGAGACTACTGCAAGTGGGAATCGTGGAATCTGGGTACTATTGTGGTCAATATAAAGAGCACTTACGTGACCATAGGCATTTTACGTATGAGACGTTAGGGGGTAATAGTTTCAACATTCAAGTAGACCCGTACGTCTATTGGGTTAACACGATGGAAAGGCTTGGGCTCCGCCACGGAAGTAGGCATGTAATCAATTATAAATTGCATCCAATAAAATTGTTTTTGGTCTTTATGTGAACGGGTCAACTGTCCAACTTAACGTGTTTGCTTCGTGCCAAAAGCACAGCGCCCCTTTTAACCATCCTAAGATTTGCACAAGTAGCCATGAATATACTCCCACACAGGCCACGATGCCTTTATTTCTTTGAAATTGCTGAACGTTCAACTTTTGTTGCCCGCTGACAACTTATCTTTTTCCATTTGGCACGTTTCTGTCGTAATCTTAACACCTGCGCTAAGTCAAGGTCTTGCTGGAGCCACAGAGCGCGACAGACCGCAAATACTCGCACATCGACAGCAAAACGTGATTGACTCCAACACGGTACACCCGTGTAATCCATTGCACGCAACAGAATATTGTGTGCAGGTAAAATCTATGGGACATGCACGCACTGCCAGAAACAACCACACTCACGTCAGAGTCCAACCCTGGTAGTCCTACAGATGGCATCTTCCATAAGCCGGGCTTTTCCGCAACCGACACTCATTGGCACTCTTATATCACCACCACCTTTTTTTAATTTCAACAATTATTCTCATGGAAGTCCATCATGTTTCCTAGGTGTCACTCTGTGTCACATAACCGTGTTATGATACAAGTTATGGCCAAAAGAGTTGTGTATACCCCCAATTTTTGGGTCGAGTGCCAATTAGACTATTGCAGCTCCTGATCAAAGCTCCGTCAAGACGTCGACAGGCTGTCTGTTGTCGCACCTTGGCCATCATCGCCAGCAGTCATCTCCAACCAACCCCCTATAACCGCCTTTATTGTTTCACCTGATCATGTACACATCTATCTGACATGCAAGGGTGAGAGGGAGGTTGTTGTGGAACTCCTCGTATTCGTGAATTTAGCCGTTTACACGCACTCGAACCCCAAAAGAGCACCGCAAGGAGCGCACCATCGTCTCCCTATTCCTCTGCCGCCTCAGGGGGATCCACCGGGGGAAAAGGAAATCGTCCAGGAAAAGAGGTTCTTCCCATATGGAGAGATCGCGCACCTTTCTCCTGTTAGGATCCTGTCCAGATATCAGCGGGGAGACATACATCTAAAGCCGAGTCACGCAGCTTTACACAACAATTGCGGATCAGGTATACTAGTAGCAGGTGGTTACTGGATACCATACAGCGGTTATTTGGTAGTCGTCCATACGGATAACGACCTAGCGCACACGAGGGCGTGAGGTACTAAGTGTGATTAGAACTAGGAGAAATGAAATTCACCTTATCTAAACTCCCCTAACTACCAATTCCGTTAAAAACATTTAACAACCAACCAGAACCGCAGCTAAGGAATATTCGCAGGGAGCCACCCGCCTCGCTGCCAAGGTCCCAACAAGCCGTCAACCATTCCACGTCATGCCACGAGTATAAAACACAACATACACGTTGCTGATGCCATTCTCGCTCTGGCCGGGCCCATCCAGTGAGAAGCATCCAGTTTCATGCATTCGCGCACAGCAAGCTCCCATAAATGCAGTATCTCAGCGTTCTGTAAAAAAAAGGCGCACAAGTGCCTCCCAGCAGCGCCGTAAACGTAGCGCCCATACGTACACACAACCCTTCCCCGCCGTGTATTACGACTGCACGGCATTGAGCGGGAATGCCTTTTATAATGTGGCTTATTGATAATCATAAGTCGCAAGTCGAAGTCGTCAATTTATAAATATGCGTGATATGCGTGAAAAACAACCGCGCACTAAAGTGGAGCCAGCCAGGGTCATGCCACTGCTGCGACCTCGCAAGGGCCGCACCACCCGCATATTGCAGTGGCAGTGGCAGTCAACGTCCTTAACATCTCGTCAGCCGCAACCCGCCGAGGAACAGGCAAAGGTGCAGACTACCCGCATCAAGCGCTTCCCCGCCAGACAGAACTAAGCCCCACACAGACAAGCAGTAACCAAGTGTCTGTGTAACGTCTTAACGTCCTAATGTACGGCAGGGGAGCACCGGCGAGGGCAGGTGCGTCTCACTCTTCGTTCTCTATCTCTCCCTCTCCTCCTTCCACGCCTCCGGTCTTGGCCCCAATCTCCTCACCAAAACGCCGCCGATGGCGACAGCCATTAACGGCCCGCACAAACGCCGCACGCTTGCCATACATCCGCAAATGAAAAATCTAAATCGTCTCCGAAACCGCAACCCATGGATGCAAATATCTGAAGGGTAAATAGCCTGCCTGAGAGCCAGAGAAGAATCAACGCATAGCAAACGCCGAAGCCGCAGCAGCAGTAACTCGAGCGTCTCCTCCTCCCCATTTCCCCCCCCCCTCCCCTCCCTCATCCCCCTCACGCCCAGCTCTCGGGAAACCAGGCCAGGAAAGGGCAGCCATCCCTTCCAACTGACATCCTGTCCCCGTTTTAGAGCTTCCCTCTTCTCCCGCCACTACCTCCAAACACTAAATACCGGAGTACGCCATCATACGGCGTACGGTGCCGTACTCACGCATCTTGAAACCGACTCGCGGCAGAGCGAGCGTCGCGCGCAAGCCACCACGTCAGAAACCCATCCCTGCATGGGGCTATGCACATACCCGCAGCCATGCCCTCACCCAAAAATGCACGTTCGTACGCGTCAATACAAAAGCGATGATTCTGTACTCAGCACACATGAATACACACGAGTCAATTCGCACGATGACACGTGGGTAACATGGGCATGCATGGGTAAGCAGCAGCTAATGGCTGTCGGAGGACGCGGAGAAAAGAAGGCAAAAAAAACCGCAAAGGATAAAGGCATAAGTTGTAACCGCCAGATGGCCACGGGCCGTACAATCGCCGTACAACCACCCGCCCCAGCTCCCGCTTTTCGGGGCCGCCACCGCACGGCTACTGTTGCTGCTGCTGCTGCTGCTGCTTTTCCTGTCCCGAAAACTGCTGTGTGACTAAGCGACGATGTGACCTCTGTCCCACAGACCCGTGGGTCTCGTCGTGGTGCTAATTACAGTCAGGTCGCATGTCTCAGATGTCTCATGCAAACCCTGGTCCCTGGGACGACCCATCATCAGGTGTGTGTGCAGGTAGGTAGGCATGCTCCTTACATTTACCGTATGTTCGTACATGTACACCAGCCCAAAACGGGCCCTCCGCCGCCGGCCGGCATCACGACACCTCTTTCAGGCCGCCGGATGACGGCGCATCGCGTTGGGCTGCCGCCCTCCTGCCCAGGCCGTCTCTGTCACCACCTCCGCGAGAACCTGCATATGTGTACGGCCGGTGCTGCGTTACATACGTACATACATACACTACATGAGTACATACGTACGCACACATGTCATTACACTGCTGGAACGGGTGGTATTGGTAACGATACTCATCCGTTCGTCCTACTACTGACTAAGCGCGCTTCCACGGAAGCATATACATACACGCATCCCTTTGAGCTTGAACGTTCTTTCCTTAGGGTTTTAAGGTCACGACGTAGTAAAAGATTCAAGTTTTCTAAGGATAGATTAGATTTAATAAAACATACATGTTTCGTTACAACAAACGAGGCCTTGTTCCATGGGCCAAGGGCCCTTCAAGACATCAGTTGTGGAATAAACTGCGTTGTGGTTCAGATAACTTGGATCTTCGACCTTGTGTGTCCACAACAAGAGTGTGCAAGCTTAGTAAGCAGGCCTCTTGCCAAACACCCCAAATACATACATACATACACGCAGGTAACGGAGCAAGCAAGCAAGCAAGCACACATGCAAGTAAAACGCGCACCTCTTTGCTCGCATCCACAATTTCTCCGCTGCCCAATAAGCCCAGGCCCCCCGCGCTCGTGGGTACCGGCGACAGCAGGTTGCCGCCACCCATACCCGTCATGCTGGCCATGCCCGTCAGAGGCTCGATGCTGGGAGAGGCCTGCAAGGAGGAAGGAGGGACATGGGCGTACGGTAGGGTAGGATAGGGGGGTGCGGTAATAACAGCAGCCGGGAATGTAATAACGGACAAACACACGGAGGCGAGGGACGCCGTGGTGTGTGCATACGCGTATGCAGGACAACACCGCGGAGAAGAGGAGGCGCAAAGGAGATGCGGCGCAACGTAATCCTCGTCATTCAAATCAGGGGACTTATGCATTATGCCCTACAGGTAAATCCGTACTAATAACATTCAGTCCGACAGGTATTCCCCGACCCATGGAGGTGTGGCGGGTGTGTATGGCCCCCGGGGGCTGCGATGGGCTCATACACAGGGTTTCGGAGCGCATCTGCCCCGGCCGCCGCCGCCGCCATTCAGCCACAACGCTCGACAGCATACACCTGCGTGATGCCCTTCCGTCGTACGGCACATGGTCACACATATAGGTCTCCCCCTCACGCACGGGGTAACCCACTCAGGGGTCGCACTTGTCCCTGCACCGCTCATCCAGCCCCATAGACCCATCCATTTGGATCTACCGATTCAAAATCCATCAATCGTTTTCTGACCCGAAGATCTTTCTGTAAACAGGGCATAACAACTCGCAGCTGAGTGACAACTTTTTTTGCTTTTTTCCCTTACGAGACGAAACAACACGACACGAACCACACATGCGCGAGCGGGCGTAATTAGAGCGACGAAGTACACGAACATGGGGCAAAGTGCAAAGCGATATTCAGGACCAGGTCGCCATTGGTTGATCGCAAAAAAAACACGGAAAGGTCGCGGCGGAGGCACGACGACGACAGCGACAAGAGCATCAATAAAAGCAAAATGGCTGTACGCGGGACGTTTACGTGTGACAAAACGACTGTACCGCAGCTAAACCCCTCGAGACCCTAAACAAGGGCGAAGCAAAGAGCCTAAACAGGACACGTCTTTGCGAGGTGATTATTACTAATGGGAAACTGAGGAACACATGTGTGATGCTATTATTGAAGTCGCGTAATGTTCGCGGGGAGCAGTTGCACCATACTTTCAAACACATAGGGCCACCCTCACAAAGGCAAACTTGTGCAGCGAAAAAACCGCCCTTAACTCTCCCACTTCTCCTCCTCCTCACCATCACCATCACCATCATCATCATCATCATCTTCACCATCATCATACTTACCGATAATGTTATCGATAAAAATACTAGCGTTAAGGGTCCAATCAATGCACCGACTCTATCGGACAACTGCATGAAAATACGTGTTTTGTCGTCGTATCCGTCAGTCTGTCAGCGCAATCATGCCCCTGATTGCACAATCCAGCAACCGGGCACATTCGCAAACTAATCACATTGTGCACAAAGACACCCCACCTAGCATGCAACAGATTGCCGTACGTTTGCCGTACAATACGGCGCCATCTCTGCATGTATCGCGAGGTACAACGGGTCGAGGTTTATTTTGTACCGTGATGGCCGCAAAAAACAAAGCACGCAGGGGCTTTTGCCTATTCCTATTCCTTTTTTAACACCTGTAACAGTGTCAACCAGCGCCGCAAGCCGTGCAGCACACAAAGCAGTGCCGCATATATGCTACATCACTACAGTAAAACATTTCTGTTTTATTGAATCAAGGAAAAAAGTTGCCGTTCTTGATGCTGATTCCCAAGGTATGAAGAAGATAAAAAAAGCCAGCTCCAACAAAAAAAGACGTTCTATGGATAGCCACACTAAAATTCGCCATAAAGCATTATTAAGCTTCATCAATCGTATCAGGCAACGCTACACGCGCTACACGCGCGCTACATAAGAGACGCAGAATCATAGAACGACAATCCAAAGCAAACAGGGAAACAATAAATCTGAAGAAGATTTCGACCCGCCGGCCTAGAGGAATAAATCCCGATCCTGGATAAAAAAAAAAGCAGGGCGGAAAAATAACAACAAGAAAATTTATCCACGTAAAATAGTGTTAATTAAAATTATCACGGTAAGAATGTACCGACACCGAAAAAGGAGGAATAACGCAAATATGGCGAGATCACAACTTTCTTTGCTCGCAAAGCGAAGGAAAGCTTTGCTATAGGCTGTGTATCTGTGTCAAACTGTTCTCTGCAAACTACTATAAAAACACGGCCCACTTTCCCCACGTACACGCTACTATACTTCCGAGACCCGCAGCGAGCGCCCGCCACTCCTCTGTCCCAACAACCGGCCCCTACGGCCATCCGCCTGTACGATATCATGTACCTGTACGACATCCACAGCATGGACAACGCCCTTGCCCTGTACGACATCCACAACGTAATTTACATCCCGATCTTGCACAACATCGCAAGCATGTACAACATAGTACGATTGTACGGCACCGTTCCCAACGACAACTGGACTCGCTACCACGCCAACCGACGCCGCCCCGTCCTCTTGCCCGCCTGAGCTGCTCACCACCATGGCCCTTCTCGTCATGCGCTTCTCCTGGTACTTCAGGTACGCGTAGTAGGCGGCACCTGAAGCATAGCGGACATGGCATGGAAATAGCAACAGAGGAGATGTGGTTGCCGTGTTGGGCGTTTGAGTTGCAAACGAGGTGGGATAGGTTAGGGGTAGATGGGATGGAGCCACCAAACCCTTCCCATCCAATCTTCCCCGCCTTGCAAACAGGCGTAATTGCGGTTGGCCATAGGACTGCTTTTTTAAAAGCAGTCCTACTCAAGCGTGTGATGGATCCAACTACATGTGGTTAGAACCTCCTCTAAATCGGCCGTGGCATTATGGCGAAGTACAGTATGTGTGTATGTGTTGGATATAGCGGGGAGGTGAGCGGCAGTAGCAGCAGCAGCAGCACTGGAGGCAGCAGAGGCTTCACACTCACCAATGGTGTTGAGGGTGATGCCGGCCACGTTGACGACGCTGAACTTGACGCCGCCCAACAGGAAGAATCCCAGAAACACCGCCACAACTCCCTGCGAGCATTTACAAGCCGGGTAACGCGGACTGTGACCAAACCCTAAATCACGAGGATTGGGGATTGAAATGGGCCAATCTCAAAGACACGCACACACACACGGAATCGCACACACGCAGGCCTCTTCGCAACCCCCCATTCCCCCCCTCCCAGATCCCATCACTGCGCACCTCAGTAGCGTGCAGACCCTCCCCACACCTCCCCTCACAGGAACACATGGCGGCGTAGAGCCGCACCGCAGGCGTAGCAACCCCCCTCGCGCCTTCGGGCCAGCTCGCCACATCCAGAACGGACCGTCCCTGCCCCCCGCGTGTTTGGTCGCCGCCCCTCCCTCAATCCCCTCGCCTCTTTCCCCTTCCTCCTACTTCCCTCGCACCTTAATGACCCCCACAATGGTCGTGGTCAATGCGCTGTTGTTGACCGTGCACAGAAACAAAGAGTAGTTCAAAAGGCAGCCCTGCCGAAGGAGGAAAGGCGGGAAATGGAGAGGGAGGGAAAACCAGAGAACAGTATTAGCATCAACGTCTGTAGCAGCAGTTCATGTATGTGTTCATCCCGAAATCCCCCACATGAAACCCTCCAACCCCTTTGGACCCACCATCAGTAAAACCCATTGGACACGCCAGCGCGCAACACGAAATGATGAACCATAGGACCCACCATCCCCTGGAAAACCTCCACGAGAGGACCCCTAGGACTTTGGACCCACCATCAGCGAGCAGGAAAGGAGCGTGAACCACAGTGACGCAGCCCCGTGCACCTCCAAAGCGGTTTGGTAGGCCGTCGTCAGCCTGGCCCCCTCGCCCGTGCCCGCCACCACCAACAGCAGGAACGGCACTGAAGTAATGGCGTTGTAGTAGAGCATCTCAGACGTGCTCACGCCCTCCTCGCCCTGCACAGGCATATTACCATCCGCATCCGCATCCAGATCAATTTGTTCAAGTCATGAACATGCTGATTCAGTCACCATGATCGCGCATGGAAGACACAAAAGCATATGCAGGACAAGGAAAACGAATCTGTGTGTCACATGTCCGCACTCATGTAGCGAAAACGTAAAGAGCGAAGAACGGAAACTCGTCGAAAAGCCAAGAGACCCATATCGCTTCCACCTGATAGCCTATCCACCTCCACAACCTTATCACTTCAGCCAATAAACCACAAAACATATTATTGTGGCTTTCCGTCCGGGACCCAGACGCCGCATAAGCCCCACACAGCCCGATGGGTCCACCATCACGGCATTTCACGCACCTGAAACTCTACAAGCAGAAGATAGGCAGCCTGCATGGTGCAAGACATGAGCGCAAACACGTAGCCCTGCGGCAGGCAGACAGGTAGGCAGGCAAGCGGGTAAGCAGGCGGGTAGACAGGCGGTTAGGCAGCAGAGGCACAAGCGCAGCAGCAGCAGCAGCACGGTAGCTAGTTTGCAAAGTCAAGAGGTCGCAGCTGATCATTTGAAAAGAATGGAAAGAAAATTTCATTTCCATACAGCAGAGCCAGGCAAGACCCAGAGGCCCGTTGTCCTCCTCTCCGCCTGTCTGATTCTGCGCTGACGGAATCCATCGTGGAATGCCTGTGAGATTATCACCGCGACTCCTGCGCGTTTGCATCATCATCCTTGCCTTGCCGCCCTGCCAACCACCTGTACATTTTCCCTCCGTCTCAACTAGAGCCGCATACTGCTGAGCAGTACACGCAGAGTCGTGGCCTCGTGCGGGAGCTGGACGACCCCGAGAACGCCCCTTCCCGGAATAACCCCCTCCAACTGGGAGCCTGGTAGACTACGCGACCGACCGAGTCATCCGTCCCCCACACGCCCCTCTCCGCGCCTGCTGCTGCCCCTGCGGTGGCCTCCGCCGCACCCGGCCGCGTTCAGCTAGATCCGACCCGGCCCCATTCAATTCATCCAGCCCGGCCCCATCCGTCCCAACCGTGACTTTCAATCGAGTATCACCATTATTTCACTTACCATCAGGTCAAAGGACAGGTCGCCAATCCCCGCCACAACGCAGCCCGCCACCACGAGAAACACCGCCAACGAAATCTCCAGCCGCGGCCAGCGCTTCTTGTAAATAGCCTGCAAAAGAGAGAAAAGAAATGGTCCGAAATCGAAATCAAAGAGGATCAATACATACATGTGGGAGATTCGAACGCGCAACATCGCATCGAGGTCATGAGGAATTTTTAGGATATTAAGCGTAAAGCATACCTTCTGGGGCCATGGATCAACCAATCCTCACTGGACGAATTTAATATATATACACCAGTACACAAGACGCAAATGAACGCAAAACCAATTCATTAGATGCCAAAACGCAAAAGCAGCACACAAACTGCTCGTTAATAACTAGTAACGCGCCACCACATCGCACTAACGACTTGTGAACAGCTGTCCACGACAGCCCATCGACACCAACCTTGACAATTAGAATAATCATCGGCGTCAGGCGCTTCAAGACATTATACATGGGGATGTTGAGCGTCTTGAGGCCGAATCTGAATCGTGGTTTAGATGGCGGCAGGGGCAGCGGCGGTGGTGACGGTGGTGGTTAGCTAGGCATACGCATGGATGGGGGTGAGCGGATATGTTTCATGTGCAAGTTTCACGCCTATTGTTAATTCAATGTGCAATGAAGCCACCCAGGTACGACAGATGAGAGCAAACTGCAACCCTAACGGTAAACTCCAATCAGGTCTGTAGTCTGCCAGCCGCCGCCAGGGCTCTTCCACCGATCCTTCCCCCCCCACACACACCGCCGACTGGTTAGTTGTGGTTTCTTTACATCTGCCGCAGCAGTCTTTCATTGGCATCAACTTCACTCGCTCGTGGTTCGCCTTTCCCCCCCACACACATACGCTCTCTCAGCAGCTCATGGACAGACCCCGCGGCCCCTCGTCGAACGGCCCGTATACGGTCAGCATATCTCTGGGAACAGCCATGTTTCCTTAGCGGTCCAGCGACAACAGTAGCAGCAGCAAGAGCAACAACTTACAACGCAAAGCCGACGTTGGCCGTGTACAGCACAGTAATCCAAAAGAGGCGCTTGCAGGTCTGCCATGAAAACTGCAAGGGGGAGAAAAGAGGTACAGAAGGAGAAGAGTAACGAAACGAGGTATGGAAGCACCAACAAGGGACAGGGTGGTCGGTTGGATTCCGTTACATTCATTTAGGCACTTATTCGGTAAAAGTGCTGCTTACCGACAGCGCCACCAAAGCGCCAGCTCATTCGACATATGTATCTTCCTCTGATGCGGCACTTCTGGCGTGGCGATTCGAATGGCTTGCTATCCCCAAGGGGGGGCTCATTTGGGTTTGAAGGCAGGTTCAAGCACCTTTTGATAATAAATAACAAAATAGCAAGCGCATGCCAGCCTATGCCATTCGGATCCCGGGACGGGCCCAAGGGTTTCAAAACTTCCCCAGACCAACGGGCGTGCAGGCTGCCGCCTTGTAACATGCAAGGAAGCACATCCCAACGGTAACCCGACACGAAATCAGGCTACCACATAACATACAGCATGCATTGGCTTGGCGTGGGATGAGTTTTGCGGCATGGTAGAACGTGCCGTGCTGCCCCTTGCCGTGTACCCGTGAACCCTCACCCGAGGGAAGCCCAGGTACCCCAGCTCCAGCAGCGGGTGAAGGATGATAAACGTTGCCACCATTTGCATCACCATTACCACATTTGGCAGGGGGAGCATCTGCATGCTGGCCTTGTTCACAAAGTTCATGGACACAGCTACTGTCCCGTCTGCAAAGTTAAGGGGATAATGAGCCGGCGCGAAGGTCCCAGCTTAGCTAGGAAGTGGAGCAATAATACTTGAGGGCAGTTTGGTTAAGCGAAGCAAGCCAGTCTGTGGGCTTCCTGGGTGGTGTGTGGGACGGGGTTGCGTGCGATGATGCGGAGGTTGACCGCCCGTGGACGCTGGCACCAAAGGCCGGCTAAGCTTGATGTCCCAATCACTTGATGTATGGTCGTAATCCCCGCCTTCCCGGAAACTTACAAAGGATCGCAGAGCCGATGCCCAGAAAACCGTAGAACTGTGATTGGTGGGCAGCCTGCAATAACAGCCCAAGGTGATAAGCTCTTTCGCTGTCGGCCAAAAACTACGACCATTCGGCTTCAACTAATAAGTAGGGCTCAGCAAAAGGCTGAACAGAGGTTGTCAATTTGCATACCACACTTCCTCAAAATTTGGGTGCTGGATTTCGTCTACCTATGGTGAGAACTACTAGGAATACAGCGCAAGGGTCCCCAAATCAAGCTCCCGATGGAAATACCTCGGTTGGAACCCGTTGCAAGAACGCAGTCTTGAAGGGGGAACTGTTCTGGTTTCGGCCCTTTTCAAGTGCATTTCTGCCGCGAGTCGAAATAAAGTAACCTGTCAGGCTTTTGCGATGGTTGTGCCGCTACGGTTCGAAAGCTCACCCTTCTGGCGCCACGCTTTGAGGCAACAACGGTTCCGTCTCCGACACCTGAGCACGCTGATCCATTTTGGAGACTCAGCACTCCACAGACTTGTAAAAAGGGAAGCCGTTGCAATCAATCAGAGCTAAAGTGATCAGGCGGTCAAGGTAAAAATGTTTCTACGAGAGTCGGATTCCGTGCGAGAAGTTTATTCGGTATCATTAAATGCAAAAAGATACACGCGCTACTGGAATGATTAGAAGGATTTCGGTTCATTTCGTTAAAGGTACGGCCGATGAACTGCTAAAACGTGCAACGGTAAAGAACCTAATGCAAAATGCGCAATTGTCCTGATAAATCGTCTTGGAGTGTGATTTTGGACAAATCAATGCTTCTTGGCGTGCAGGACGCGCTCTAGCCAAGGCTCCAACTGCCCTGTACTGCAAAGCCCACATCTGGCTTTACGCTCATTCAACATTTTGAGTTCGCAGTGGTCATCCATTGCTGTGGTACCATTGCCGTGGTTATCCCTGCTATTTGCAGGGGTCGCGGCTATGCTGTGCTCAGGGGGGTCGTTGGTAAGGGGAGGGTGTGCATCAGGTCCGGTTGCTTGGAGTGTCGCGTACCCCCAGGGGAATGGAGACAGTATGGATTCGGATCAAGTCAAATGTTTTCGTTATGCATGGGAGTGTTTTTTTGTTGGTGCAGTCTACACAGCACTACAAGGCTCGCGTATGTATGACATGCCTAATGGACGAACCCGCATGGGGGTTCCTGATCGTGTTTTTATCCTGTTAAACACACTGTTGCGATGCAATAGGCTGCGAACAGATGAAGTTCTTATTGCAGGCGACATGAATGGGTGGTTTTCAGATGTGCAGGAACTCACCGACCACATAGTGGTCGGTGAGTTAGACTTGGCGGAGCACGAGGGTGGTGCCTACAGGCGAGACTGTTGAATGATCCTGGAGCGATGTCCACTTCCAGTAATTTGTGCGTGTGCGGAAGGTGAAGTCTTTGGGACTACCGTTCGTGATGTCTAGTTGGGGGAACGGCCAGCGGATAGTTAAACCTTGTTATTGACTGGGTCGGTCGAGTACGCAGTACCCAGGCATCCACTACGCCCCAGACTGCCTCCCACCGCCCTTCATATCCTGCACCAACGAGCGCTTCGCGGTGAGGCAGCGTGTGGCGTTTTTCAGTTGTTGCTTTATTAAGTTATACGTCGTCAGGGACCGCTGCCCAAAGCTGCTGGTCTGAAGTGTTTCGACACTTAGATCTTTTTTTATTGTTAAAAAGTGGTAGATCTGACCAATTCGTTTCTTACGGAGCGCAGGTTTGGGGACCTGGTCTCTTAGTGCAAGTTTTAGAGGCTGCGGGTTCGCGGGTCGATCTTTTTGAGAAAGCGGCTACGGATCGGGTGGTAGGGTTACGGCGTACATTCCTTTGTTGGCTGGCATGCGTGAAAACCCCTCCAAATGCGCGCTGCTTTTTCCGCGAAATTTGACCAGCACCCTCCTCATGTTTCCTTGGCTAGGCTAGTCTTCTGCTTTTGGAAGAAATTGATTGATTCAGAGGGGTCCATGTACCATCGTGTGCTCAAGGAGGATTTGCGTCTTGCGTTGTCGGGACGTGAAGGTCCTCGGTGTCCTCCGGGCCTTGGGTTACGACCTGGATGGTGTGACCGGCACTGTGCGGACGTTGAAGGCAAGGTGACGGGCCTCACGCCTCACGAGCTCGATGTCTCTGCGCTGCTTGAGGATTTGTAGGACTATTTTAATGCGCATTGGACGAATAATCGGCTCCATGTGGACCCCCGGGATTTTGTTTCTGACACCTGTTAACCCCGGGCGAAAATGTGTCTTTAATAGCATAAGATGGGGGGCTCGCACCACCTTGGGCTTTACATCCCTTCCAGGCATCATAGTAGCTTGATTTGTCTCTGTTTGTGCTGCTGGGCAGAGTTGGGCGATTGATGTTAGCCGTCCCAACGGTAGGGTGTAATGCAGGTCGGGCTTGCCCCATCTGTAGGTTTTGTGTGGTTTTCTTTGAGTAGTTGCCTTACCGCTCAGGGGCCGTACGGACGAAGGGGTACCCGCAGGCAAGAAAAGTGTGGGAGGAGGCGAGCCTGTTTTTCGAAATTTGGTGAACTAGCCACGAGCGCAATTAGCTTATTATGACTGTAAATTTTTCGCCTGTTTTTCTTTGTTCTTTTGCGGAGTCTGGTGGTCCATTGGCTCGTCTGGGCCTTACGAGCTCAAGAAGCTTGTAGCAAACAAGACAAACTTCTTTTTTTATCATATTTCTTCACACCTTCTAGCTTAGGGTCTCGTGTTTTTTCGATGCTTTGTGTTCTCTTAGTGTAAAAATGCATTAGCATACATTTTTTCATTGCACGAACAGTGATAACAGTACTTAAGCATATGCGTGATAAGGATTGTGCTATATGATGCGGCGCACGCCGTTTACCGGCGGCTGTCTGTTAAGGCGAGCGGCGTCACGGCCACCCCAATTCGCAGCTTTTCCTTGGATTTCATTTCGCCATCATGGATGTTGCGCAAACAAGTTAAAGGCAAGAGCATCAACACTCGAGGACCGGACTGGCAGCAGGCAATCCGTGGCGCTGGAGCATGTGCTGGAGGAGCTGCGGAAAGCCCAAGGAATTGACAAATTGGGCCCTGATGTCGAGGTATGTAAACAGCTTTTGACCAGCGTCCCAAGACCGTACCGCCCTTCAGTTGCCATCTCGACATTACAATGCGGGCGGAGCGTAACACCACAATAGGCAACTAGCGGTCGCTAGTTATCGAGTTTTAGCATAGGCCAGAAAGGTTTGGGAACAGGCTGGGGCGTGCCAAAATTTGATCGTCGAATGCCGTTCCGCAGGCGGTTGTTTCCGGCCGAGGCAAGCACCTGGGCATCGCGGTCAGCTGGAGCCTGCGCTGGACAGCTTCTGGCAGCTTCACAGAGGAGATCCGCGGTCCCCAGCTTACTTTCAAATGGGGCTACGACGGCCGCAAAGACGGCGGCTGCTGGGAGGTGCGAGCTTTGTTAGGTGGAGGCCGACCATCAGCCTGTCATACACGGCCATCATGGGCATCGCCAAGGGCCAACACACACATGCAAATACATACACAACCATCCAACTACCAACCAGCAACCACCATTCCGTCGGGCCATTCTCAACATCCCATTTGGGTCATGCCTGAGCCTGTCTACCGTTTTGTCATCCTCTTGTGTGTCGTACAGGATCTTATTGTTCTGGATCCGGATCTGGCCTTTGCAGTTGTAGTAGGTTATTTTTACTTTGTTACTTCGCATCTATTTCCTGCCCATCCGTCCGCCTTCCCAATCCGCTATCTATACCACCCGTCACGCACACCCCCTTAGGTGGACAGTGCGGGGCTAGTCCGAGTTATGGAGTGTGATGACCACGAGGTGGGTGGGGAGCTGCTGCTGGTGTGTTCGCACGTGGGCTGGTGTGTTCGCACGTGGCAAATGTTTAAACGATTCTCCGACCTGTAACAACGTGGCCTAATAAAAAAGGGGGGAAGTAGTGGGGGTTGGGGGGCCGAGGAGTTGGCGGGTGGGGGAGATAGGGGGGGTAAGATGATGATGGGGTTGGGGAGGTTGACCTCCACCCCCCTTAGCCGCTTATGAATAAAACACACACGATAACTGCCGCCCGCCATCGGTACCCGTCCCTCCTGCGGGGGTCCCCCCTTTGACCATTACCCCGCAGGCGGTGCTGATGACGACGTACATCCGTACAGGTTGCTGGCTACAGCCTCACTTACAGGACCGCTTCGACATTGAGCTACTGCCGGCACCCGTTATGAAGGGCGCTGCAGCTGCCGGCAGCATCAACAGCAGCAGTAGCGGCTGTAGCAGCCACCGCGGCGTTAGCAGTGGCAGCAGCAATCTTGACATAGGGGAAGGGAGCAGCGGTTTTACCTCGGATGGTGGGTCCAACTTGTCGGAGGACAGTGCCGTGATGAGCTCCAGTGAGTTGGCGGCGGCGGCGGCGACAACGACGAGGGTGGACACGAGCGGCGGATTGTGCAAAAGCAGTAGCGGCAGCAGTAACAGTAGCAGCACCCCTCCCACGGCGGCTACAGCTACAGTCGCGGCGGCGTCAGACACTACCACCGCTACTGCTGCAGCTACGCATATCAGCAGCGGCGGAAGCGGTAGCACTACTACTGCACGTGGGCGTAAGACGGCGGCGGTAGCACTGACCCATGGAGCTCCAGGGAGCCCAGCGGCGGATGAGGTCGTTGCCATTGGGTTGCGAGTCAGGGGCAGGAAGGTGAGTACGGGTGTGGATGAAAGGGTGTGAGGGTGAATGAACGCACACGTATAAACCCGTACACATACACACATGCCCCCGCCTTTTTCAATTCGCAAGTCCATTACTTTAAATCTGACACATGCAAGCCGACAGACAGACAGACAGAGACACACAAGCACGTGCATCCTCCTGTTCCGGGGCCGCTCACGCGGGTTTTGCGTCTAGTGGGAGGGGGAAACGGGGCCACCTGCCTGTGTTTCGTTTTCTGGCACTCCCCTCACCTGCAACCTTCAGCCACCGTCTTAGACATGGTTGCATTTGTATGTATGTCTGCATCCGCATGCATTAAGTCGGACCATGACTTTGGTTTTTGCAATGCACGGAAGAAGGAAAAACAACATCTGGCAATAAGTTTACAGAATTAGTGGCGTTACGACAAGGGATCAAAGTCAACCACTTGGTCGAAATCCTGTAGCGGAATCTGTGGGTTTGTATGTTTGTAAGGTTCTACACGAAAACATAGCTCATTTCTGTGTCTGCATATTCCCGTGTCTGTATATCTGTATGTATTTAAGGACGTATCCTACGGAGCTGAGACGCGTATGGGCGTGCGTACGTATGTATGTACGTCGCTCTCTCTCCCCGCAGCTCCGAGTACGAGTGTTTGTACGGCGGCGAGACTGGCGGCTGCTGGGCTTCAACCACCGCATGTGTGCCGACGTGGAGATGTGGGAGCTAGGGGAGTGGAAGGAGTGGGCAGAGGGGTAGGTGGCGGTTGGCGGTTGGTGGTTGAGAGGGCGGCCGTGGGGTTTTCAAGTGCTGCTACAAGGGGGGGGAAGGTGCTGGATGGGAAGGGTGGTATGTGTGTGTGAGGGGGCGATCTGTGTGATTCGATGGGTGGCTCGCACCCATAAAGTCCGGGGGGGGGCCGCAAATGCGCGAGAAGGGGGGAGCAGGCGCACCCGATTCGTACTCTGTCTCTTGTGTGTTATGAAGAATGTGTATCCTGTATGTCTGTATGTATGTGTGTATGTTGCATGCATCCGTGTGAATAGGGGAAGAGTCCGCGAAGCCGAGTATGATGCTGAGACGTACTTTTGTATGTATGTCACCCCTTCTGTCACGTCTTTATGCCGTACGCCGCACCCGCAGTGTGTCGTACCCCTCGAGTGCGCTACATAAGGCCTCCAACGGCGGCCAGCACGCTTACCTGACCAACTCAGGAGCAGCGGAACGAGTGGCGCCATTGCCGCCGCCGCCGCCGCTGCTACTGCTGCAGCCGCCAGAGCCGCTACGGACATCGCCGCCTCCTCTACCAAGGGTGGCGTCGGCGGAGGCGGGTTCTCTCCCCTCGCCGCCGCCGCCGCAGCAGCTGCTGCAGCTCCCGCCGCCGACGGATTTCGGTTTACCGTTGCTTCCCCCCATTCCGGGGGACACGAGCTACAGCCCCCCGGGAGGCGGAGGGGGTCAGGGGGTACCGCTGTGGAGGGCGGCCAGCGGACACTACCTGGTGGGCACATACATACATACACGCACACGCACACACTTGAACTGGGTTGCTTTAGGATAAGCTTAAGGGTTTAAGGGTTTAAAAAAGGCCTAATCTGAAAACGTAAAACCCTATTAAAACCCAGGAGTACATCGACCCCCCTCCCTTCGCTTGTGGGGAAATAGTATCCTGGTTTGATCCTGATTAGGAAACGACTTTCTTTTAACCAGCCGAAAGCCTAGGGAGTTGGGCTTAGTAGGGCACCTGTATGTGTGTATGTATGTCAGTACTCTGGAAAGCTATTCTAGTAGTAGAAGTATACGGAATTTTCATTCGATTTTGATGGCCTCAGGTGCTTTGGATTTCGTTAGCAGTTTTGACCCTTTTCTTCCGCTCACGACATCGTGATGATGATCATCATCATCATCATTATTATCATATTATGATTGTCCCATTATCATCATTATCATACTCAGAAGTATTCCGCCCCCTCCCCCTCCTCTAGTCGTTTCCCTGACTCGGCACATGATAGTCTCCCCCCGTCACCCCCTCCGAAACCAAACACTGGACCGCCGCCAGGTTAGACCCACCATCAACGGGCAGGAGGGCGGGGGCTACTTCGTTGTGGATACGGGGGCCAGCGGCTTCGTGTTGACACCGCAGGTAAGTACGGCTAAGGGTACGGCAAAAACGTGACGTACCGCGTTTGTGTGTACGTGGGGTTTGTATGTGTGTATGTCTGTCTGTGTTTTGCGTTTGTATGTGTGTGGAGGGCTCAATGTCTGCTGCATACATACATACATACGTACCCTCTCCATCCAACTTCCCTAGGCCGCGGCTCGTCTGGGCGGGCAGTCCTTTGGCGAGACCCACGCAGCGTCCATTTCCGGCAAGGTGGCAGCTCGCTTTGTACGGCTGGGCTCGTGGTCGCTCGGGGGTCTGTCCATTCGTCAGCCCGTACTGATGGTGATGGCACTGGAGGGCCTTGTGCGGGGGGCTCCAGGGGAGGTGGTCGGCATTGTGGGTCATGACCTTTTCAGGTGGGTACGTTGTGGGTGGGTGAAGGGGGAGGGAGGTGGGGATATATACATATATATATATCGATACCCGTGTGGGTCAAAGTCCTTCCGATGGTGGAAGGCATTGCGCCCCTAGTTAATGGACGGTGGTTACCTGGGATAAAGTTAACCTGCGAGCCGACCAGGAATGGAGTTGCGCCGCTGTCGACCCGGCAGATTCCGTTGGATGCTGGTGGTGGGTGCGGAACCTGAGCGATCCACTGAGAAGTTGACTAGGGTGACTGGATGAGGGTGCCCGGAAATACCGGGGAAGGCAGGGTTTCGCAGGGTAGCTGCCACGGGCGAAGATACACCCCCCTGTTTCACACATCATATATATATATATATGTATATATATATATATATACATGCTTAGGGTGTAGTAAAACCCTAAATAAAGTACAGCGAATCGTGTGGTGTTTCGCTTGTACGGCAGGCGCGCGGTCGTGGAGGTGCCTCGAGTGCTCCCGGGATGCATGTTGACGGCGGAGTCGGGGACTGGATCCACAGCAATAGCAACAGCGTCAGTGGCAGTAGCAGCGCCGGCGACGGCGCCGGCGACATCAGTAGGTTCAAGGCCCCGATCTGAAACAGGATCCAGTTCCGACTCGGATTGCGGATCTGGATCTGGATTCGAGGAGGAGTGCGGGTCACCGCGTCTGGGGGAGGCCGCAGCGTCGTCTGCCAGCCGCGATGGGGTCGCGACGGCGACGGCGACGGCGCACATCTCGAGCCGTTACGCAGGCAGCGGTGCAGCTGGTCCCGTACTAGGGCCGCCTCCGCCAGCGGCACGATCGACGGCGGCCTTCGAGGATCCCGTTGCGACGGCGGCGGCGGGGGCGGCCGGGTCCAGCGGTAGGGCGGCGGCAGCCGCTGATGGCGGTGGTGGCGGCAAGGGTCACCCCGTGGGTCAGCCTTGCGGATCCGTGGCACTAGGCCAGGCGTTCAGTGTCACCGCGGTGCCGTCACCCTCGCTTTCCTTGCAGCCGCCGTCACCGCCACACTTGAAATCGTCGCCAAGCAGCGCCAGGAGCGGCAGCGATACCAGCCGTAGCAGTAGTACTAGCAGTAGCAGTGACGTCACTAGCTGTAGTAGCAGCAGCAGCTTAACAGGACAGGCAGAAGCTAGAAGCAGCAGCAGTAACAGTTGTAGCAGCAGCAGCAATAATGGCGATGGCAGTAGCAAGGCATCCAGTGGGCGCAGCCCAACGGCACGTGCCGTACGCCGCGCGGCTCGTACCGTACCTTACACGTTACACGAAATGCTGTTGTACCACCCACTCGAGTACGGCAACGAGTTGGACTGGGTTTGGGAGCCAATTGTAATGGTGAGCACGTGTTGTGAGGGACCCACGGGTCATTCTCCAACTCCAAATTCGCGCCGCTGCCATCATCGTCTCTGATTGCAGCGCCCTGAGTTCCTAGTCATGCCTAAGTCTGTACTTTACCTGTCACTCTTTTCCTAAAACGATGCCGTACGGCAATCCGTTGCGTCTTCCCCAGGAATGTCTTCCCCAGGTCGGTTTTTTCGTGAACCGTCCGTGCTTCGTCGTAACCGCCCCCTTTTTCCTTTTTCGTCCTGCTGTTCGGTTGCTTTCCAAGTCCCAATTCCCGGATATTAAATCTGAAAAGGTTACGTTTTCCTTTTTATTAGCTTTTACCTCTCCTTCCTGCCCTTCTTTCTGTCCATCACTCTCATTCTCTGTCTGTCTGTCTGTCTGTCTGTCTGATTGCCGACCTGCAGATCGCCAACCTGCCACACGTGCACCTCCGCTTCGCAGACCCCGGCGGCGGGGCCCCCCACGCGGCCCTCCTCATGGTGGATTCCGGAGCGTGTGGAGCGGACCTCATGCTACACGCAAGAGCGCAGAAGGAGTTGGGGTTGATGCAGATGCCGCCTGCAGCGGCTCCAGGCGCCGGCGCTGGTGATGGCGATGTCGTCGTTGGCGGCGGCGGCAGTAGCAATGGCTCCCGGTCCGAAGGACATTACCTTCGGGGGGTCGGCCAGGATCCTAAGGACTATGTGCAACTGCAGGTACGACTTGTACGAAAATAACCGAACAAGGTTGTGCAGGTGCGGGTGTGCGGATTTAGGCAAATAGCGCGTTTGGTTTGGTTCGCATCCAGCGCTGTATACGTAGGGTTGTGCCGACCATTAGAAATAGAATTCTAACGTAGAATAATTCTAATGAGAAATCACCCTATAAATGAGAAGGGCCTGCTTTTGGGATTAGAATGAGAAAGCTGTACGACAGCCTGGGTCCTGCATTAGAATCGCCAGAAATAGAGGCTTGTGCATTATAATACTTGCACATTAGTACCTTACCTAGAGATGTTATTCCGGGTCAGCTATGGTAGATCAAGCGGACAAGCCTGACACAAAGCAACCTGACCATCAGCCCGACAACATTGAAGTTTACAAGTATGGTGACAAGAATTTAGACGCCCCTGCCTACGGTAATGTTCTCAAAGAAGCTAAGGCAAAGCAGCGCGCGTCGTGGTGGGTTCGTTTCAACGTCCTGCTGACAAATGGTGCTGTGTGGCTACAATGCGTCCGCTGCAACAAGATCCTTAGCGCTAAGAATCCGTCACAAGTTTGCTCTCAGCACGTCAGAGCATGCGATAAGAAGCTGATGGAGGCGGCTGCAGGAGGCTCCAGAATGCCTCCCTCACCCAGCCCGCAGCCTGGGCCTTCCACCACCCCCTCCGCCGCTCCCCCCGCTGCTCCCTCCAACGATCCGTCCGCCGGCCCGTCCGCTGGCCCCTCCGCTCCTCCCGGCCCCTTTGTCGGCCCCGCCGCCGACCCCTCCACCGCCACCCTTTCCACTCCCCTCGATGCCTCTGTCAAGAAGCGCCCTCGCACGGTTCAGACGTTCGCAGCTTCTACCCCTCTTCTGTTGCCATCGCCCGGTTCCTCTGGAATCTTGCTCTTTTTTTCTTCAAGTGCAACATAGCTTTGCACCTGATCGAGCACCCGAACCTGGTTGCTGCTTGCGCGGCAATTGGCGTCCTCCTCCCTGGCCGCAAGAAACGTGCCACCACCATGCTTGACAACGCCTACAAAGAGCTTGCCTACGACCTCGACAAGGTTGCTGAGGCTGATGGTGGTTTAGCTGCTATTGGAACAGACGGATGGCCGTTGCGTACCCCTGAGTACTTGGGACTCTCGTTTTATTGAGGTTCCTGACGCAGATTGTTCGGTTTGAATTTAGCGTACTAGTGTTTGTATCCGTCTGGCAACTGGCTGGAAATAACAACACTTGGCAAGGTTGGCTTTGCATTCTAAGGGGGGTATATATGGCCAAGAGGTACACCCTTCTGGGTTACGACCCCCGCCATCGACTTTCGGCATAAAAAATTGGAAACGCCTGGATAACCATGAGCCGCCATGCCCACAAATTTTCAGTTAATTCTTCGCGCTGGGTGAAAAGATAGCAAAGTAATTCTCATTCTCATTCTCATATTCTAATTTACCTCTAATTAGAAATGATATGAGAAGGATTTTCCTTCTAAGGTTAGGAACAACGCTATGTATACGGCTTTTGGTAAGAATGTAAGGAAATTCACTTTCCTCCCCTTTTTTCCCGTACGTGCTTGCTCGTACATCGTACAGGAATAAATATTAATGTATTCCTGCCGTTCGCTTTCCGCGTCTTCCTTCTCGAGCGTCTGTGCTCTTACCTTTGTGTCTTCCCTCTTGAATCAAAACCCCCCAGCCCCTCTTTCCATGTCTCTTCTCCCTCATATTCCTGTAAGGCACTTTTTTTAATCTTTTTCTCTTCCTTTCTCTTTCTCCCGTGAAGGTGTTGGACTTGCCTTGGCTGGAGCTGGCGGGAGTGCGATTCGAACAGGTGTGTGTTTTTTGGGGAGGGGGAAGTTTGTTGGGGAACAGGGTGAGGAAGGGGTTTAGGGTTTTTAGGGAAAAACCTTCTTCCTTTCTCTACCCTTCCCGGCCTCGTAAGTTTTGGGCACTGCAAGACCGCGTGTGTGGGGTCGTAGGCAATACTTGCCGAAATGTGACCTTTTTCCTGCGCCTTACTGCGCATTGCACATGTTGAGATGACCGTTTCCGTTGCTTGTAGACCTATTTTCGCGCTTTTGAGGAAACGTCTCGGTTGTTGAGGAAATGTCTCTTGAGGAAGTGCGCGGATTTAGCAATAAAAGCAATTATCTCCCCCGTTTCTTGCCATCCGCAATTGAATGCTTTTCGGTGGAGTTCAGGTTCGCTGCATGTGCGCGGCCGTGGGCGGTCTCGACATCTCCATATACAGTCACGGAATCCTGTGCGGCGACCTGCTGGCCAGGCTGGAGTGGGCCATCGACTACACACATAAGCGCATCGGCTTCCGCAGGGGTGCCTTTGCGCATGCACCTCGGCCGGCAGCCCGGTAGCGGCAGTAGAAGCAGCAAAAGGAGGAAGAAGCAAGACGACTAGGAGTAGATGAACTTTATGAATCTAACAGCTAATTAAGAGTAACACTGTTGTCATTGTTTCCAGCTGGATTAGGGATTATTGGTTGGCGGGCGAGCTGAAACTGTGACGGCGGGACAAGGTGTGCGTGGCTGTTCGCCGCGAGAGCAGGATAAGTGCTCTGCGCCGCGCACGTATTAAATACGGCTTTTCGATGTGTTGCCTGCTGTAAAAGGGGCGCGAGCAGGAACGTCAGTTATATTTTTTTGTTTTGTAAATACAGCGGGTTTTCCTTTAACTCGTCTTAAGAGTTGCCTTGCTCATGTCGAGTTTTGGAGGCGTCAAAGCAAAGCCATACGGATAGGAAAAGCAAACTTTTCCAAGATGATGTAAAAATTTGCAAGGGCAGGAATCCTACATGTTCCTTTGATCATTAACGTGTACTAGTGCTTGCAGCACGCGCTGGGGCCTTTTCCATAATGGACTCCGCAAGCCATGCCAACGTCACTAGCTCAAGGCTTCAGCAAGCATTTGAGGCGTCCGTTATTCCCCAGTCGGTGAGCACACGGCCGCGCTTCACCTTCGCACTCCCGATACACACGAGACTTCTCTTCAAGTCGGTAACTTGTTTGACTTCACGATGAAAATTTCCTCAATTCTCCACCTAAAGCCATATAACTAAACACAATCAACTAGTGCGTAAGCTTCCAACCGTAAACCACCAACGTAAACTGCCCAACCGCATTGCCAACCATGTGTCCCAGTCTCCAATGCAGGTCCTGGTTCCGGATCCATGCGTTCCGATCCTCCGTGTAAATGTTGGAGAGCATGACTACTATCTGTAGAGTCTCTGCAAGATGGCGGGAGGAGGAGGCCTGGCAGGTCCAGGGAGGGCAGCAGGGTCCTTAGCTAGAAGGGGGAAGGAGAAGAACAGAACCCAAGCCAGGAACGAGAGCCCGCTGGGGGAAATGGGTGGTATGGATGGACTTTGCTTGAGGACTTGCTGCTGGCTGGCGGTGGTGAATGCAAAAAGGGTTATTATTGGCCCTTGGCGGATATGGAGATTGATATTGGTCTGGTCTGGTGACACCACTGCCTTTAGCCAATTAAAGTTCTGCAGGATCAATTTCTCGGCAGTCCCCAACTTCGGCAGAATGAGAATATATATGTGGCCTTCTCCTGAGGTGGTCTGGTTGAGGAACAAAGTTTCGCATGCTGGATTTGTGGCGATTGCTGACATATCTCTACAGATGTCGGGTGACTGGATGAGGGTTCAGGACCAAACCCAAACCGCCTCAGATTTTTAGTTAGTACGACGGAATTAAGTTTCAATATGATGTGTGAAACAGGGGGGTGTATCTTCGCCCGTGGCAGCTACCCTGCGAAACCCTGCCTTCCCCGGTATTTCCGGGCACCCTCATCCAGTCACCCTAGTCAACTTCTCAGTGGATCGCTCAGGTTCCGTACCCACCACCAGCATCCAACGGAATCTGCCGGGTCGACAGCGGCCCAACTCCATTTCTGGTCGGCTCGCAGGTTAACTTTATCCCAAGTCACCACCGTCCATCAACTAGGGGGCCAATACCTTCACCATCGGAAGGATTTTCGACCCTGATAGGATTTTCGACCCTGATTTTCGATCCCGGGATCTCCCGGCGTATTGCCGCCACCTGCTGCACCATGTGCCGTGGACGCAATTTGGCGGCAACCTCATGCTGCTGGCACGCATGTACGACATCCGCGTGCACCACGAGAGCATGGTGCAGGTGGGCATTACCATGAACATGCGGCCGCATCTCGGCGAGCCAGCGGCGCATGTGCCACATGATGTCATCCGTGCCATGGGCACCATACTGGTGCTGCCGTATCGGCACTCGCAGCGACGGCAGCTGCTCATGCAGCAGTCGCCGCTGGTTAAGGCGCTGGTGGAGGGGGCCCGCCTCAGTACTCTGCGCCTCGACCTCACAGACACGTATTACAACGGTGCCCAAGCCAAAATGTGTGCAGCCGCCCTCACCATTGGCTGGCCCCCGTTGTTCTTCACCGTGAACCCAGCAGACATGCATGCGGCCTGTGCAGTCATGGCATCCGGGCAGGTGTTGGACTTTGGCGACGATGGACGACCACAACACATTCCAAGCACAGTGGAGAAGTGGCGCCATGTGAAGGACGACCCGCACAGCTGCACCGCCCTGCTGGTGGCCACCAAGGAGGTCCTGGTGGAGGAGCTCTTCGGCTTCATGCCGGGCGCCATGCAGCAGACCAACCCGCACTGCTTCTGCGGGCTCACGTTTGAGGTGGCGGTCAAGGTGGAGCAGAGTGGTCGCCTCGCCCTGCACATCCACGGTGTTGCGCATGTGGCCACATTCACAGTCGAGCGACTGCAAGCACTGTTCAGCGGACCCAACTGCCGGGTGCTGGCCCTGGCACACGCATTGTGCGCCATGTGGTACCCCTCGCCCTACTACGACCCCTCCACACATGGTGCGGATTGCCACATCATGGATATGACCCTCGAAGAGGCCCAACAGCATGGTCGTGCACCTCCACCCGTGGACAAGTCCTGCCCGCCTGCGGTGTACAACTTTGGCAGACTCGCCGGCTGCACAGGTGGTGGACTCCCGCCACCTCCCCAGCACACCGCCTGCTGCATGCACCACACGTCAGTCATCCGCAGCACCCTCACTCACACACACAACGACACATGCAAGTGACACGGCTGCCGCGGCACAGACGACAGCTGTGGCATGGCATTCCCGTGTGTCCTGCACAGCACTTTCCAATGGATTGGCACCGGCGGCCTCTTCCTGCTGCCATGCTTGGGCCCAAACATCGTACCACACATGCCAGCTGTGGTGCTGGCGTTTGGCTGCAACCAGCTGTTCACTCTGGCATGTGAGGTGGACCGCGTGTACACAGCAGAGGCAGCGGCACAACTGGCCCACCCTGAAGATGAGCGTGCTGACTGCGTGCTGCTGCAGCCTGCTGCTGACCGTGCTCGCGACTCTGCTTACTACAGTACCAAGTATACTGGGAAGAGCATCAACGACAGTCAGGCTCAGCTGACATGCAACACTCTCACCCGGGTGCAGGACTTCCTGCTGGCTGGTGGGGTGCCGAATCCGGGTACCAGTGGGCCCACCGCCTTTGGCAACATGTGCGCCACTGTACACTGCATGACTGCTGCCATCACGGCTGGCATGGCGCTTGTGGCCATGAAGCTGGACGGCCACTCCACCTTCGAGGCCATGTTCGAGAGCGCATACCTGCAGGTAGACGCATTCACAGCTCTATCTGCAGGCGCCAACCAATGTCCTGATGCAGCAACCACAGCGGTGGTGCTGGTGGAGGCTGAAGAGCATGAAGGCTACACAGTGACCAATGCCGTACAGACCTACATGCTGTGGGGGCACCATGATGGCAGCAGTCATGCAGTGTACAGTGGTGCACATGTTGCCAAAGGCGGTGGGCCCACTGGTACCCGGATTCGGCGCCCCTCCAGCCAGCAGGAAGTCCTGCACCCGGGTGAGAGTGTTGCATGTCAGCTGAGCCTGACTGTCGTTGATGCTCTTCCCAGTATACTTGGTACTGTAGTAAGTGGAGTCGCGAGCACGGTCAGCAGCAGGCTGCAGCAGCACGCAGTCAGCACGCTCTTCTTCAGGGTGTGCTGCTGCCTCTGCTGTGTACACGCGGTCCACCTCACACACCAGAGTGAACAGCTGGTTGCAGCCAAACACCAGCACCACAGCTGGCATGTGTGGTACGATGTTTGGGCCCAAGCGTGGCAGCAGGAAGAGGCCGCCGGTGCCAATCCATTGGAAAGTGCTGTGCAGGACACACGGGAATGCCATGCCACAGCTGTCGTCTGTGCCGCGGCAGCCGTGTCGCTTGCATGTGTCGTTGTGTGTGTGTGAGTGAGGGTGCTGCGGATGACTGACACATGGTGCGTGCGGCAGGCGGCGTGCCGGGGAGGTGGCGGGAGTCCGCCACCTGTGCAGCCAGCAAGCCTGCCAAAGTCGTACGCTGCAGGCGGGCAGGACTTGTCCACGGGTGGAGGTGCACGACCATGCTGTTGGGCCTCTTCGAGGGTCATATCCATGACGTGGCGATCCGCACCATGTGTGAAGGGGTCGTAGTAGGGCGAGGGGTACCACATGGCGCACAATGCGTGTGCCAGGGCCAGCGCCCGGCAGTTGGGTCCGCTGAACAGTGCTTGCCATATATATATATGGCCCCCGCATTCGCGCAAAACTTGTAAATCTTGATACGGAAACTGCTATCTTGTATGCGGCTAATGATGGCCAGCTGTCCAGTGTCGGTGTATGACGGACTTCGACGATTCAATTCCGAATTACTGAAAAAAAGGGAAGATGTGAATCTAGCACTGTTTAGGAAGGAAGAACGTGGTGTCGGAGCCTTTTGACGAGAACGTGGAGGGGGGTGCCGAAGGGCGGAGGAGCCGCAGTCAGCATAACTTTGGACTAGCGGGCTTGTACATGCACATCCGTGTAAACTGTGCTCCTATGCTATTAAACATACAGTCCTGCTTTTCATGCATGGTATAGCCGATTATTTTAGTCAGCACGATTGATTTTACTTGAGAAAGGACGCCGCAGACGCCCTCCGTAGTCATATGGAGAGAAGGAGGATGCATAAAGTCGATCCTGAGAAAGAAAGTATCTAGTAGATGCATCACGGAGCACAGGGACCCGGCATTTCGCAACCGCTTCGTACGGCCTCTGGAATGACAGGAGCCCAAGACGACAAAGACTCCATTATCGCATTACGTGACACAGATGGAGCCTTAGCATATTATGATCGACGTTTTTTTTCCACTGTGGAACCTTGATTGAAATCACTGATTTCCTGACAGGCAAACGCAAGTTGATGTAGCTTCGCAAACCTTGCATATGTAGTGTGCCATGGCTAACTTTCTACTCATCCTCAGCGCTTACTTGAGCCATAGGCCTGAGTTGCTGAAGCTGTCGCTTATGGTTGTCCTTGGCCTGCTCGGTCTGAATATGTTATCTCGGGCATATTGTGAAGGAAATTTGGAAGAAAATACCCTTCCTGTAGACCATCCCTTTGTCAAGGACTTTCCGTGTAATAGCAACAGTGGCTTCCGGGCTTTGTACCTCTTGCGACATGCTTTCCAAGTATACCCGATATTTTTCCTATTGGATAAAAAGGACTATTGGGCGAGCCTCGTACATGGATTTCTTCTGACACGCGTGGCCGCGTGCGCCCTCGTCCCACCTAGCCTCTACCGCCGTCACCTTTCAGCCTTCCTCAACGCTATCCAGCGGCTTCTAGTTTCCCTCTTCTTCGTGGCGTCGTCGCTTTCGGCAACCAGCCCAGTGAAGCCTTCGCACAACGCACTCTGGTACGTGCAGGGACTAGGCATTCAGCCAGGATATAGTCACAAAACACGCAAACGAACCTTGACGATAGCGCATCGCGCTCAGAACCTTCTTTTCAACATGTGGAGGTGCGCGTGAGTAGCAAGTGCACTGGCAAGGCCGCAGTTTCGTAACGTCCTCCTGACCATCCCCAATCCGGCCATGGCTGCGACGAAGCTCTGCCCCGTTCACCGCAACCCATCAGTCCAGCTCCGCAGCATTGTTCAACTGCTATCAAGGCGCAGCCCAGTCCGAATGCTCGACATCCGGCCCTAGCGCCCAGGCCGGTGCAAGCGGGATTCGCGCTGCGGCCAGACACGCAGGAGCCATTTATGTTATGTCCTGTGTGACTTGGAGGATGAACGGCGGGGGCTTGGTTACTTACCTGTCGTGCTCACTCATCGTTTTGAGCCAGCCACTGAAACAGCAGCAGCAGCAGCAGAGGAACTGCCGTACTGGTGCTGGAGCCTTCCGGTAGTGGTCCGGACTCGAACATCCACAAAAGCTCCGAAACCTGCGTACCCTTCTTGCCTGCCTGCATACATACATGCATACATACATATATAGATACATACGTGGTTCTCCCACTGCCGTATCAAGCTCCCACGACAAGCTAGGTCATTCATCCTTTACCTGCTTGAACACTTCCCCACGTCCCCCCTTCGTTTTTTCCCCACATATAAATGTCTTCTTTCTTCCACGAGCTCTTTTTCGCTCTTGCTTGCACCGCTGTGCTGCTACCTGCTACTGCTGCTGCTGCTACTGCTGCTGCTACTGCTAAACAGGTACCTAAAGATGGCTCCCATTATGGACATCTTCTCCGTGGGCTTCTTCCAGGTACGGAAAAGAAGGCGTGGCGATGTACGGAAAGGAAGGGGTGGGGGTGTACGGAAAGGAAATTGTGTGTGTGTGGGGGGGGGGAACAACTGCGGACTGTGGGTGGAGGGGAGGGGTAGTTACATGACGCAGGAAACAGCAAGTGTGTCCATCTGCCGATACACGTGCAGCGCTCCGGCTGCTGTAGGGGTCCCGCCGCGGGCTGGGACTGTGAGGTGAGGAGTGCAGGATGAGGACCGTGAAAAGGGTTAGGAGGAGGGGAGGGGAGGAAGGGGGGGAGGAGGGGGAGGGGGAGGAGGGGAGGGGGAGGGGAGGAGGAGGGAAGGGGAGGTAGATGGGGTAGGGGTTTCTTACACGGGATGATTTGGGATCACCGTCCACGTATCTGCTCGTCCAGGTCGTATCCGGACCTGACACGGCCATGAAGTTCGACTGCCCTCCTCCCGGGGGCGCATCTTCTTAGTCGCCAGCTCCCCCTTCGCATGTCTCCTTGTCCTTTATCGCACCCGGCTCACCTCTTTGCTACCCTTTTGTTTTTGCATGTGCCTTTTGCCACTACTTCTGCGGCCTGGCCAGGTGAGTCCAAAGGGTGGTTCGAGCTGCTTTGGTATATCGCGTTGGCGTCGGTCGGCTAGCCGGAATAGAATAGTCGGGTCGGTCGGGTCGGTCGCGCGTTTTAGTTTTCTTGGGGGGTTGGGAGGAGCACTTGCATACCGACAGCCTTTCAGTATCAGCAAATCAGCCTTTTCTCCTGGCCAGCAACTTTAGGCCACCTTTACGACAGCACTATTTTACTCGCCGCCTTCACGACTACTCTTCTACACCTACTTCTTTACGGATTGGCTATACTATTCAGCTTTTTTCATTCTGGCGGCTTAGGTAGGTAGGATTTCCGACATCAACGTCACTTCGTCATCCCGAGGTCACAGTCGTCACAGTCGCCACGGACGCCTTTCGGTCAGTTTTTACGTTTGCTACTCTCTTGCCCTGGCAGCAGCTTCAATCGTGGGCGGTTCCCTCGGTCCCCACTCTTGCCATCGTGCCACGCCCCAGCTGTGTGCGTGTGGGGAGTTGGGGGGAGAGGGAGGAGGAAAGGGTGGCTTACATTGGCGTAGTCGTAGTTTTACCTTCGGGTAGCCCGTGCCTTCCATTTCTCTTCCCCAAGCCCCTGGTCGCGCTTCACAAACCCTAGAAGCCCTCTTTCTAAATTGCCCCTTCCCCCTGGCATGTTGCTGTCTCTGGCCCTTCTCCTGCTGAACTGGTCCTATTGCCATGTACCCCTGGTTGCTGTCGTACATCCCATCCTGGCATCTGCCGTACTTTGGGATCGTGCGGTATTTACGGCAGCTGGGTTTCGGGGGCGAGGTGGTATACGGCGTCGCCGCGCTGATGTGTTCCGTCTGGCTTGCGCACCAATTCGCGTGGGCAGTGGACGTGGACTTCAAGCTGCCGTACGTCGTTGTACGGCAGCTGGCAAGTACGGCGGTGCTCCTTATTATTGAATGGTTCATTCGTCCCTTGTATAACAAGTACGGGGTTCAGTTCGTGTGGATGCTGCTACTGGGGCATCATCCTCACGTCTACACCCCACGTGATGCACTGCCGCCGCCGCCGCGGCAGCGGCGGCGGCGGCGGAAGGACGACGAGACCAGGGCCGACATGAAGGCTGCGGCGGCAAACGGCTTTCCTTCATTTTCGACTGCGGCGGCAGCGCCAGCAGTAGCAGCACCTTCAACGGGAGGTACCGTCAGCGTACGGCAGCGGCAAGCTGCGGCAGCGACAGCGGCGGCGCTACCTCCGCTGACGTCGCGGAGCGGCAGTACAGCTACGACCAATTGCCAAGGAGCTGGCTCGGGGGCGGTGCGGGGGTTGTCGGGTTGCGAACACTCCGCTGCTGTCACCGCCGCGGCCGCCACGACGGCGGCGTCGTACGGCAGCGGAAGCGGCAGCACACAAGGCCGTACGATAACGGTTATATCTGCTGCGCCGACGGCATCTGTTGCTGCGCCCATGGCCATGACCTCGCCTTTGGCTTCGGCCGTATCCTCATCGTTGGACAATGGTGGGGATGGTGGTGGTTTCGGAGCGGGACAGCTCCCACAGGAAGCGCCCGGGGCTTGCGCCACTGCTGACGCTGACCCCGGTCCAGTGCCACCGCCGCAACAGCACAGCGGCCCGGTTTTGCTGCAGCCAGCAACAGCGGCCGTCTCGCCGAATGCGGAACGACAGATTTGCCGTACAGTTGATGCCGAGGTGGCGCCAGCGGAGCCAAGGCCGGCTGCCGGCAGCGACCGGCTCAGCAACTTGGCGAAGCCAGAGTCGTACATGGCTTTTCATCGTACAACGGTTGCGGCAGCCGCCGGCGGCTGTTCTGCCGCCGCGGCGCAGCTGCTTGGTACGACGGCGACGCTGGCGGCGCCAGCCGCCTTTACGGGCACTACCTTGGCGGCTGCCGCCGCCGCCCGGCCGCTACGCGGCTATGTGGGTCGTACGAGGCTTTTGAGTACAACGGTGAAGATCCGCGGGGTACATTTGGCGGATGTGCCGGCCGGCTATCAACAGCGGATTGCCGCGGTGTTGGCGGCAGCAGACCTTGAGCTGGAGGGCGTGTACCTGAGGGCGGGCTGCATTGAGCTGGTGAGTTTGGAAGGACAGGTCTGAGCTGAGCTGAGCTGAGCTGAGCTAAGACTGGGCCGAGGCTGGTGTTAGTGATTAATCCTCTGCCTGCACGCGTCTTGGGGTTCTCATTGCTGCTGGCTCCCCTTTTTATTGTTTTGTCAAATACATAAAAAATGTCACAATAAAACATTTTATTTAATTTTTTATGTCATTGTCAATTTTTTAAAATTTTACCTGATTTAAGTCTATATTTTTTCTTGTCCAATATTTTTTTGTTTATGTTTCTTCTCCTCTGGCAGGTGGTCGACGCGCGAAGCTGGAATGCGAGGCCTGGCGGCGACGCTGCCGCCGCCGCCGGCGCTGGCGACGTCTCACGCCGTACTCAGCGCAGCGGCTGGGCCGAGATCCACGTGCCTGGCCGGGCCGAGAGTGGTGCACATCCGCCGCCGCAGGGGCAGCATGGGCCCGGCGGCGGCGGCGGCGGCGGTCAGCAAGCAGCCCTCGCGGTGGAAGCTAGCGGCGGTGGCGACGACAATAACGGCAGCGGCAGCAATCCGCACCATGTGAAACTGTTATCGGCGGCGGCGCTGGCGGCAGCGCCGCCGCCGCCACCAGTGCCTCAAATGTACGACAGTGGCAACGGTGCTGCTGGTGGCGGTTACGGCCTCGGTGGCGGCAAGGCGGTGGATGTGGGAGAGCTCATCCGAGCGCTCCATCTTCGACAGGATGGACTGTCCGTGGAGCATTCTGGAAGCTTGACGGACCTCTGTCGCGAGTCAGATGACGTGCTGACGAGGAATGGTGGCGGCGCCGCCGCCGCGGCGGCAGCGCCGCCGCCACCTACGTGGGAGGCAAATGGCAGCGACAGTATCACAATGGACCCATCGGCCCCAGTCGTACAAGGCATGAATGCAGCAACGGCTGTAGCCGCTGTCCCCTTGCCGCCACAGCTGCTCTCCGTGTCACCACGTGTACTGCAGACACGGTCCGCTGCCGCCGCCGCCGCTGCCGCCGCCAGCAGCGCCACAACAATCGTCGAGTTGGTGCTACTCGTAGCGTGTCCGGGCGATAGGGTTCCGGAGCTGCTCGTCCGTAGCCACGGCGCCTTCATTCCCGGGACGGTGACCAGTTGCGTGTCGGTGGGAGCTCCCGCCGGCGTCAGCCTTCCATTGCGTGACGTGTTAATGTGCACTGTGGCGCTGCCGCTGGCGGCGCTACCGGATGAACCTGGAGTGCTAATGGTGGAGGTTCGCTGGGCGGGGGAGACCCACGGGTCGGCATTGCCACTGCTGTTGGCGGACGACGCCGCGCTAGCGGCGGAGTTACAGGCCGCCGTGGAAGACTGGCGGGGGCCCCCCCTGGAGCTTGAGGACTTGCTGCTGGACTTTGCTTGCTTCCTCTTGCATACAAATTGCATGCTGCGTCCCACCGCAGGGGGAGCGCTGGCTGCGTACGACGTGTACGATAGCTTTATATACGAAGGCGCGTCGGCACCGTTTGCTGTTATGCGGGATCGGGTTTCGGAGCTGGGACTGCACATGCTCGCTTGGATGGACAGCTGCTTGTCGGGCTGGGGCTGTGCCATGCGGCGCCTGCAGACTAGTCTGGCGGCCCTGGGGGTGAGCTCTGCGGCCATCGAGGAGGTGCGCAGGGCCGCCCAACAGCGGGTGTACCAGCACCAGCACCAGTACCAGTACCAGCCGCAACAACTTGCCGACCAGCAGCACTTCCCACAACTCCCGCACCGTGGCCAGTCCTACGGCGACTATTATGAGCTCGTCAACCAAGAACAGCAACGCCGTGGCGGCGGCGGCGGCGGCGGCGGCCCCGTACCCTCTCCACATGACGACGAGCTGTACGACGATGTCCGCTGTGCTGATAACCGCAAGGCTGCCGGGCTCGCGGCTAGGCAGGTGTTCACCGCCGCTGCCGCCGCCGCCGTCGGCGGCGGCGGCGGCGTACGGCATGCGGTACACGACATGCCCGCGGCGACGCCGGGGGCCTCTGCGCCCCTGGGTTATATGCCTGGAACTCTAACGCTACAACAATCGCATCAGCGGGAGGAGCGACAGACTCGTTCGTTAGCAGGCACCAGTAGTACCATCTCCCAGTTACCTGCCGGCGGAGCCGCCCCAGCTTCCGCAGCATCAGGTCCTACGGCAGCGGCGTCGTACGGCCCCGTGGCCGTCACAGCTGCGGCCGCCGCCGGGCAAGTACACCCGGCAGGCCTGGGAACGATTTCCTCCGTTTCCCCCGCCGCCTCCTCCCGCTCGCCCTCGCCTTCCTCCTCCGCATCCTCGTCATCGTCGTACGTGTCAACCTGTTCAACGGCGTCCTTGGCGCATGTCGTACCTGCCGGGCAGTATGAGGCATGTACGGCGCAGCCGCAGCCGCTGTCGCCGACAGAGATGGTGGTCACCGCCGTCGTTGAGTGCAGCAGCAGCAGCAGCGGCAGCAGCAGCAGCAGCAGTAGTTCCACTGCCATCTTCGAGCTCCAGGCGGACGAAATCATCGCCACCACCACCGCCACCACCACAGCTACAGCCACCACAGCTACAGCCACCACAGCTACAGCCACCACAGCTACAGCCACCGGCACCGACATGATAACGCCAACCACTACGGTCGCGGCGGTAGCCACAGTAACATGTACGGCTACAGCTACAGCCGCTCAAACGCTTACATCCACTTTTAGTAAATCGCCGTCCAAATGTGGTGGCGTTGGGAGGAACGACCCACGGGTCGCGTCCAACAAGTGGTTCACGAAGTCCAAGAAGAAGAAGAAGCAGCAGCTGCCAGAACCTGAGCAGCAGCCTGCACCGTTATCGTCTTTCCTTCAGCTAATTTCCGACGCAGCCCGGGGAGAGGCGGCGGCGGCGGCGGCGGCGAGGTGTCGATGTGGGTCGGCGGTGGGGTTTCGCCGGCGCGTTACGTGGGCCGTACGGGCCGTACAGGAGGATACGGCGGCAGCCGGTGTGAAGGGAGTCCTACGGGTCGCTTTGGACTGGGGCCGCGCTGTTCGATCAGAGTACTCGTGCCTTGTGGCGGCTGGCTATCGTGCATTCGTGGTCGAGTACACCGCGCAGATGGTGTATGCAATGTAAGAGCAAAGAGCGATGGTTTTATGAAGGTAACCCAGGGCGTTAGTTAAATAAAAGGAATGAGAATCCGTACCTTTCCTTCCTTTTAAACGAACGAAAACAGACTATTATATTATTTGTTGAATAGGAAAATTGATTAAAGAAAAAAGTAATTGGGCTCCACTCATGGCCTCCGAAACCTTCGAAGATCCGCCTTATCCTTCTTTTCCTTCCCATCGTTTTTATTCGTTGTTCCATTCCTTCCGGATTTGTCCTCGCACAGAGGAGCACACACCCCTCGGGCCACCCCCCCCATGATCCCCTCTCCCTCACCATATAATACCGAAGTCCCCTTCAGAGTCTCTTCACCTAACCCCACCTTTAGCCCCATCGTTCCCTGAACTCACTCGCTCGCTCGGGGTTCGTCTCCCCTTCCCCCCGGGAGCCGCTCCTTCATGTTCCGCTCCTCCCACCTCGCCACCTCTCCTCCGTCCGCAGCAACATCTTCACGACGATCTGGTTCCTCATCCTGGCCGTGCGGACCTTCTGGCTGGAGACCGCCGCTACCGCTACTGCCGCCGCTACCAACGGCACCCACGGCCGCCACCACTACCTGATGCTGTTGCTGCAGCTGCACTCCTTGCTGCCACCTGCGGTGGCTTGCTGCCCCAGTTGTGCGGCCGCACTTAGCCGACCCTTCCTCAGCCATGTCGCCTGGGTGCGGCTGCTGTCGGCGCTGCAGCTGCCGCAGCTGCTCATGTCCAGCCTGGCGGGCTGCCTGATTGCTTGGGGCGGCGTTCCGGCTGCAGCGGGGTTTCGGAGCTATCAGCTGAGTGCAGCGGCTTTTATCGTGGATGGCATCGTGCACATTGCGGCATCGATGGTGGGTGCATGTGTATGTGTGCGTGTGCGTGTGCATGTGTCTTCCCACTTCCCACTTTCTCTCATACGATTTACCCCCACCCCCATGCGGCCCGGCGCGCCTCCCAAAATGATCCCAAATCTACAAGTTCCGCACGAATGCGCGGTTGTCCCAAATTAATATGATTTGAGTAATATGATTTGGATAATATGATTGTACGGAAAACCGCCGTGGCAGGTCCGGCCCACCCCGGCACTCCTCGTCGCCCTCGTCCGCATGCCCGTGCACATGGCCACGTGGACCAAGCTGGGAGGTACCTTCGGCTTCCGCTGGGCTGTCGTACGTGCCGCCGCCTTGGCGTGTCTCTCCGTAACGGCCAGCGTCGGCTGCCACGCCTACCTGCTGGTGGGGGTGTACCGCCGGAGGTACGGCAATGCAGCCGCCGCCGCCGCCGCCGCTGCAGCTAATGTAGCCGCTTCGACGGCGGCTGCGCCGCCGCCGCCAGTGGCGGCATCGCGGGAGCTTCGTCCGAAACGGGAATGATACAGAGGTTATGCCTTGTGCAGCTGAGTGTTCACGCATATGTATGTATTTATGTTTGCATGTACGTATCTATACGCATGTTTGTATGGAGAGGTTGTATGTGTGCGGCATGCAACTATAAGTTGGCGTCAAGGGGGATATCTGTTTGTACGATTGTACGACTCTAGTTGAAAGGCAGTGCTGTGTGAATAGAATTCAACCCGTACACAGGTACGCATCGAAGTGGGGATGAAGATGATGAAATGGAAATGTGGGAAAAGTATGTTCGAAGAGAAGAAGTAAACGGTGTTATAAGACAAGCTTGTTCATGTGTCTTCGAGGAGGCGGTCGTGTATGGTCGGGTATGTATGGTCCATTAGTAAGGCCGAGTAGTTGCCCATACAAGTGATATGCAGAGGGGCAGTGGAAGAGGCACTGAGGTAGTGAAGGGGGAAGAATCCACCACGATGACTCGCCGGCCGTCCCGCGATGTGTGTATGTGTGTGTCTCGGTTTGTGTGTGTGTATGTGACAGTTTGTATGCGTGTTGATGTGTGACTTAGCGGGCGGCTGGGGGGCTCGACTCGAGGAGGACGTGCGCGAGGAGGTGGCGATTGGAACATGGGAGGTGGTCGTCTACCGTCGTCGATCTGACAGGGAATAACAGAGTGGACTTGGCTGAAGCACATAGCTCGTTGTTATGATGATAGTGGTGCTGATGGTGCTGATGATGTTAATGGTGATGTTAATGGTGATGTTAATGGTGATGTTAATGGTGATGGTGGTGGTTCCCCATTGGTCAAGAACCCCCCTAGGAATGATGAATGATGTCAACCGCTGCCGGTGGTGTGACCTCCATTGCCACTTGCGATCTGAACGTGCGCTTGAGTGTTGTTGTTGTTGCTGTTGTTGATGTTGTTGATGATGTTGTAGGCAAGTAAGAGCGCGAGAGGAATGTCCCTTGTTCAGGCGTTACGGAGGGAGCGAGGCTCTATGCGGGCGCAACATGTGTGCGCATGGTGACCTAATAAAACACGTAGACGAGTTGTTTTGTTTTATCGATCCAGCAATTTACATCGATACAGCAGGCAGGCGTGTATTGTAGGAGAACTGCGCCAACTGTTCAACACCCGGTAACGCCGAGCTGCTTGTCCTCGACACAACATCGCACCGCCCCCGTCCCAGGGCGCTTATGGGGGGGCCTCGCTTGTTGGATATGTTGTTTTAACACAGTCGGACTGTAGCCTACAAACAACTTGTTTGTGAGTTCATCACTAGATTTTCTCGTTCTCGTTTGGCGGGCGGGTGGGTGGGAAGGGTGAGAGAGGCAACCAGGAGGTACGGCAACAAGCTCACCGTGCCTGCCGCTGTTGGGCTCGTCCACCACACTCACCAGAAATTAATCGGAAATCTATTTACGTCAAGGAAACTTGCGAAAATGCGAACTGTGCGAATACGGCGTTTCGTACAAGTAGGTGAGTAGTGGGGGATAGAACGATATGGGTGATTAAAAGACAGTGGCAATTAGCGCCCGTTGACCACGTGGTTTCGGAGGAAAGTGGCAGGAGGTAGAGGACGGCATGTTGGGCGGATAGATGTTGGCGGGGTAGCATTCTGGTGTGGGACGGAGGGGCGATCCTCCTCCGGGGAGGAGAATGGGAGGACGCAGCATATAGCGTCTGTCGCTGCCCTTGGAAAGGCGTTATTTGAACTCCAACCACCAACCACCATCGCGGTGCATAAAGCAATGCATGCTCGCACACTTGAGCACTAAATGCGCGGTGGCTCGTCCAGGTGGTGTTGTTCGGGTGCTGTGCTGCCGCGGGGTGGCGATGAAGAAGGAAGGAATGATGCCGCTGTTGGGATCGTGTGGTTCATCGTGATATGTATGCGTTTCCAGAGCGCATGCCACTTCATCTCGCCGTACAACTTTTTTTGGTGCCGTACAGCACCCGTTATCATATTTTTGAGAAATCAGGTGGACTGCCTGGGGGAGATAAAAACATGGGGGCCCACGTTTCGGTCGTTGGTTCGATCCATTATTTTGTTTTCAGGGCCTGTAAGGCTGCCGTACACGGTAGCCACAGCGGCATGTACGACACGTACGGTGCGCGCTCGGGTACAAATGGAGTTGTGAGAATATGGCATTGTCCGGTGCGGGCGGGGTTGAAGTTGGGTGTTATCTATATTAATGTATGACTTAGATTACACTGTGGGCCGCGAGAGCCGGGGGCCGAAGCCGAAACACAGCGCAACGGTCGGGAGCACACAGCACAAGTCGGTTAGTGTTGTGTGCTCCCGACCCCGACTCAGACTGCCAACACTCTACGCAGCCACTCCGCAGCCCCTCCATCCGGGGATGGCGCTGCAGTGAAAACACCACGAAGGGCTCTCAGGTCCCGCTAGAGCGAGTCCACAAGTCTCAGCTAGGGCAAAGCCAAAGGCTCTCTGAAACAACCCCCCAAAACACCACCAACGAAAACGGGATTCTAAGGGAAAAAACAAACAAACAAAAAGTCGGTTAGGGCAGTCCCGGCAGGGGAGGGCTCCTGATATACCTAACAGGCCAACAAAAAACCTCCAAGAGAGAAAGGCTAAGAGAGCTCGACACCACAAGACGTCTTGCAACCACCTTAAAACAACTCACCTCCACCACCTGTCCCTTCCTGGGCTGGTCCAGGGGAGAAGTAGCCATGTAAAGAAAAGGGACCACGCACAAGCCCGATGTATGTATGTATGTATGTATGTATGTATGTATGTATGTATGTATGTATGTGCAAGAAAGGTTTCCATAGCGCGTTGAAACTTGGTCTTTTGTAAAGTGTTTCCTTTGCTGACCTATGCAGGCAGGCAGGTGACCCAGGTGGATGTGGGCACCAACACAAAGGAATTCCGAGGGGCCCTTAAGACAATGAAAGACAGAGCGGCGAAAAGCGCGATGTCCTTCTCCCACCCCTGTTCTCAAGAAGCTCCGGGCGCGCCTCTGGTGCTCGAAGTGCTCCTTTGTCCTCGGATATTAATCCAACGTTATCAAACTGAGCACGCGGCCATCAGGAGCCACATCCCAATAATGGAGAATGAGAACCAACCCGGAACCGGACACGTAGTGCGAGACGATCAGCTGCCGGTTGGCTGCCCGATATAGATGGATGTTGTGAAAACGCATAAGGAAAACTGTTGTACTATCGCTTTTTTAACGGAAAATTATAACCGAACTACCTAGACTGTTTTGCCGTAGCAGTCCGCCTGCTATTTTAAACCCACCTCAATCTAGAGGTATGGAAAAGGTTCGCCAACTTGAGCTGATCATTCGATATCATCGCATCCTTCATTGTCTTCTGATCCACCTGAAACCCAACAGGAAGCCTGTATGTGCCACATATGCTGGGAAGTCCAAAGGCAAATGCTTTTCGTCTTCCTCGGGCAGAACTTGCAGATTTTGTACTAGCGCGCGATCCCCCCATAAACTTTGTTTGCTTCTAGCCGGCCATCAAAACAATCGAAAACGCATTATAGCAACCGATGCATATCGACAGGCATGCGGCAAACAGCTTGCCCCAGCTGCTTTCTCAAGCGGCAACCCCATCCAGCGCATCTTGTAGCTAGCCACCTTATATCAACGCTTGGTTGCTTCCCATCCGAAGGAAATTCATGCGGCACTGCAGGCAGCCTCTCAGATATGTATGAGGTCAAATACAGCCTCTCATACGCATATGCAGGCACTGTCAGCGCAAGCTAGCGGGTGCCTATGTGCCTATGTCCCACCAGGAGGGTATTGTCCGTTGTAATTCCTCTTGTCTCGAAATCGCAACGGTAACCTGTCATGTTTGATGCAGTTTGATACGTTCGTCAAATCGACTGGCGGTCGTGGCTGAGTTAGGTAACACAGGAATGGAAAACGAGCTTGGAACTCATTTTATGTAAATTTTAAGAGGGAAATGAATCTAGCGATGACCTGTGAAGAGGCAGTGTGCCGCGCAGCCGCCGCCTATGGAGCGAGGAGTTGCAACCGTCCGGAAAGGAAGAGCGCATGAAAGACCGAACAACGGCTTTTCCATGACCAGTTACAACGCAGGGCGAGGATGCGTGCACAAAAATTCCATGCGTGCGAAATGCATATCGCAAAATGCATTTTAAAGGTCGCCACCTCTTGGTCCGGCGGCAGAGTGGTGCAATGCAACAAAATCTAGGGGGAAAAAAGATGCAAACGGGATAGCAGACGTGGTGGAGCTCAGGAGACATACGCGTAATAAGGGGCAAGGCAAGGCGGGCCCAAGATCATGGCTGTTGCAAGACGGACGGAGGAACAAGTATCAATTATGAAAAGCTAGGTTATCGATTGCTTAATTGCGCCATTGCGGCAGTTATGATTGACCGACGACGAAGGGTGAACTTTGGTGGCTTAGGGTTGCAGCAGGAGGAATATCAAGCGGCATGGCTGGTGTATCCAGAACGCTTACATATTATTATTATTATTCCGCTCAGCTGTGAGATAGTTCATAGGAAATGTATTTGCGATTATCCTTTCTTGACCGCCCTTCTTTGATTCGGCGGACGACTGCGCTAACGAAGGTTCGCCAAGGATACCCAAGCCATACTGTCAACGTCCATTTGGCGTCATTAATCTAAGTATTTATAAGAGGACTTTAAGAGGACTCCGCTGTAAGTTAGCTCTATTGCCATGGCTCCAAACTGTCATATCATCTTGGGGGTTGGAGCTTGTGTCGTACATGTTACATATGGTACATGTTGTACTGACCGTTGGTGAGCAACATGTGTTCATTCCCCCGCGCAACGGTTCCTTCAGGGGGCGCACATAGGATCACATTGGAGCTTGGACGAGTCTTGTCGTACAGACCATTCGTAATGTCTTTACTAATATTGATTTCACCCAATCCAGGCAGAGGGATAATCTGTAGGCTATAATTTCTTAGCTCTTTAAAAGACAATTTTCAAAAAGAATAAATCCAGATTGCAGCGCAACCTGCTTGTAACTGCTATTCAGGGCCGCCCTGCTGCTAGTCGTCGATCACCAACCGAAACGATCTGCTTACAGATACATACAATACATAGACCTCACCTTGCCGCGCCAGAAAAAATATTTATGATGTTTGATATTGATTTGCACAGTAAATCGCCCCGATGAGGGCTCGGATTGCCTTCTTGCTGGCTGTCGCGCTGCAATTGCAATCCCATCTTCTATGGCGCACTGGCGCGCGGAAAGAATCGCCTCCGCCACTGGAGGAGCTCTGGCCTCCAGAAGACGTCTTCCCACCGCCTCCACCTAAACGGCAAAGGTAAACATGTCGCGCCTCATATCAGATCGCGAACTGCGCAATCCCGCTGCCACATCTCGCACACTGTTGTTCTAGTTAGTTGTTGTTGTTGTTGTTACAGCGGCGGGCTACCCAAATTCTATGCCTGGGAGCTAAGAAGAAGCCGAGCCAATGGGGACATCGCCTGACGCTGCATGAAACATGAACACAGACCAGACCAGAAAACGCTGCCCTGTGCTGCCCTTTTCCCTGACGAGCAGATAAGTGACTTGCCGAATCTCCTTCATCCCGTTTGGTGACATGCTTTTGAGAAATAATCAAATACACTGTATGAGTAGTTTTAAGTGGGGAACGGCGTCCCTATGGCCATCTACGGGCCGTATTAACTCGCCACTCATATCACAGAGTCTTTTTGCAAAGATCTACGTAGTTGACTAGTTCCACACACGGGCGACTACGTCTCCCCCCCAGAGGGGCAAAAGTGAGATACACATTGCCGCCTTGGTCAAAGAGCTATCACCGGTAGAGAAACCATCACAACCGATGATGCAGCAGATCCACCGCAAACATTGTAGGGTAGGGGGGCCTTAGGGGTGACTCAGCAGCTCCACTACGACGACGACGACCCAACGTACGGCAGTACGGAAACAAACTCGATAAGTACCTTCTCCATTTACCACCCACAGCTCCCTGTCCCCAAGCCAACCGCACCAGTACCGTCCTCCGAAACAAGGCACTTCGCTCTTAACTGCGGTGTTAGCGGGAGGTCTTCCCTTGGTTTGCTTCTTCACCCACGCTGCTTCGCTTCCACGTCGGTTTCCCTTAGCTTAGCTTTGCTAAGCCACACACCGCAACCTCGCACACGAAAACCAATGCGATATTTGACCCCCTGCTGTTGACCACCCGCCAATAAGTATATCCCTTATGTAGTCGCTTGCACATCCTTGGTCGTACGGCAGACGTACGGCAGACGTACGGCCGAAGGGAGGGCTGATTCTGTGGCAACAGCTGTAACGCCAGCAGCTGTATCCCCAAAGCAATATCCCACAACAACTTCCTGCCAGCCGACCAGTTCCGTAAGTTCTTCTTGCGCCTCAATTTTTTGCGTGTCAAAACTGTTTCATGCAGTGGAAGGAAGCAGCCGCCTCCGGGGCCAGCACCGCTGAGTCCTCCACCTCCCAAGGAGCCGCCGCCGCCGCCGCCGCCGCCGCCGCCGCCACCATCCCCTCCCCCAAGGTAAAACGACGTACAATTACATTACTGCGAGAGTCCGGGAACCGTACGTATACTGCAAAGTGCTCCACCATCCATCCCCAACCTTAATTGCGCCTGCCCCGCTCTACTTGATGAGAGCTCCATCAGATGAAATTCGGATGAGGCCCTTGACAAGGATTGCCGTACTTTACTAGCATAGTAGCTGTCGTACCGAACGGCATTTCCGCCAGATTAACCCGTAACGACGTGTGTGAGTACTACTACGCGTATGGACTGATGTGAACGGCACGAAAACCCCTAAGAACCTAACATCATCATTTGCGTTGACAATGTCCACCAATCACGGCGCAGAAGGAGGTTACTGCCTAAACCGCCGCCACCGAGGCCGCCGTGGCCCCAACCACCGCCGCCTCCGCGCCCTCCACCGCCGCCTCCACCACAGCACCCACCGCGGCCGATGCGACGGCGGCCTCCGCCTCCGCCTCCGCCTCCACCCCAACCTCCTCCGCGCCTTCGGCCGGCACCACCCGTGCTTCTGGACGAGCAACCGCCTCCGTACGAATTCCTAGACCCCCCTCCGCCAAGTCCCCCTCCCAGGTATCTCCGCCACCCGCTGCTGAACGAATGTGAAAGCCCTCTGCTTCAAGCCCCGTTTACACTCTTATCTGCGCCCTGCTTGCCTGCAGACATGCATCTTGGGAAGCTCATTGTTCTTATGCATTGACGAGCGATGTCGTACCGAGCTAGCGTACGTCGCAACGCGCCTGCCGCCCTAATTCATTAACGTAAACTTCATCCCACTGCTCGAAACTAGTTGAATTGCATCACACACAATTCTAAAGGGTGATGGAGTTGCAGTGCTGCCATTGTCCTCCTTTCTGTCTTGATGTGCGCCCAGCCCAACCGAGCCGGAATGACAGTTGGGTGCCACCCGCGCCGACCTACTCGCCAACCAACCAACCAACCAACCAACTTTCCAGCACGTAACAACATACTTCCGTGCACACATACACACATACACACATACATACACACATATCGTGCGCCCACCTCGCCAGTTCCTGGACCCCCCGCTCAGATCATGAACCACATACACACATATCCACATATCCACGAATCTGCCCTTGCCAGGAGGCGGCTGCCGCCGCCGCCACGCCCGGCCCCACAGCGACCTCCGAACAGCCCCCCACGACCTCCTCCTCCTCAACGTCCGGCACCGTCCCCGCCGTCGCCAGCTCCGCGGTTTCCGTCTCCAGGTCCACCCCCCCCATCTCCCCCAGAGGACCTCCTGGTGAGGCGAGTAGCGGGCGGGTAGTCCACCACCACACCGGGCAGCCCTATAACCTTTTCTTGTCCACCACCCTAATGTCCCAAAGCACTGCGGTGCTTTGCAGGTCTTCTCCCGCAAATTCGCCCACGTCACGCGGGTATGAGCTGCGTCGTTGCATGCACCTTCCGTGCATGGGTATGAAGGGACCCGAGCAAAGTGATCCGAAGTTGTCAAACCCGACCTGCAGTAGCTGCGGAGTAGGGAGGTAGCTGCGGCTGCGGCTGCACCTCTTTTTGTAACTGTGGGAAACATGACACCCCAACTTGTCTTCATTTGGAGTCGGTGCCTATCGTTTCGTTGAGGGTATCCCACCCCGGTGCTGCCGCCGCATTACCGCTGCTGGTGCTGGTGCTGCTTGCAGACGGCTGACGGTCCTTTCCCTTGCGCCTGGGTGACCGTGGATGGCGCTGACTTCCGCGCGCGGCGCTTCGTTTTCCCCCCCACGTGGGACCCGGTAGTGGTCGACATTCCTGGTTTCGTATACACCGTGGAGGTGTGAGGCTTGGTGTACACACATACATACATACATACACGCATACACCCACGTCCACGCGAAGGCCTACACGCACACTCCTTGTTAGCCATAGTGGTGCTTCCTAAGGTTGTGTTTTCCTTTTTTTTCCGTTAGGGCTTCAGGGTTTGCACGACAATGTGTGTGTGTCATGACACAACTTGCGACACTGACGGCGCACCACTACACAGCCCATGCACACCTGCTTTGATGCTCCCGCTCCGGCAGCAACGATGGCGACCCTCCCCTACCAACTAAACCACTCCACGCTGTTCGATCATGGTTTTGTTTCCAAGTGTATAACATGTTTATACTGGCGACTACTACTTACTGCCGCATATGTTGGCCTCAGGCCGCAGGAATGGAACGAACGCTGCCGGTCGCCGTCTGCACGTCTCCGGAGCCATGTGCGAGTTTGCAAGCTGTGGAGTCCTCCGCAGGCCTGAGCACCCTAGAGCTCCTCCTACCACCCACACAAAACACACCGACGAGCCCCTCCAGCGCCAGCAGCAGTAATAAGAACCGCTTGCAGCTTCAAAGCGCGATCTACCCCCATGGCATTTTTGTGCTGGCCCCCTCGGACGGCAGTTACAACAGTTATTCGGTTGAGGTGAGCGTACGGCATCGAGCTTATTACAAATGTTTGCAGTTCGGACAGCATGGAACTCACCTTGATTTCCTCAGGGAGCGAGGGAGGGGGGAGGCCTTTTTGTTTCCCAGCATCGAGTCCTGTGTAGCTAGAAGGATGGAGTGCAGCTAGGAATATACCTGAACTGCAAACAGAGTAAGAGTGCCTTCGTATGGGGGTACGGGCCACTGAGGTATGGCCGGAACGCTGTGATGGCCGGGACGCGCACCCGCGCCTTGAGTGGCCTACTGCTATTACTACGGAAGACACAACACTACACAGCAGGCCAACCGTCGTCGTACATTGTACAACATCCAACCGATACAACCGCTGCCAAAAGCCGACCGCAGGAAACCTGATCGATTTCCGCTGCGTTTATGCTTTTTATGCTTTTTTATGCTTTAGGGTTTTAGGGTTTATGCTGTTTATGCTTTTGCGAAAACCCTCTAAGTTATCCAGTTTGGGGTCTCTCCTGGTCACGTGTCTTCCTGTTGTACGAACACCTTGGCGGGCCTTCCAGTGACCGGACTTCCGGACTTCGTCCCCCCAACACCCCCAGGTCTGCACTAGGGTTCCCAAGGCGGTGGCCGCTGCCTGCCCCCTCTCCTTTGGCGTCATGTCTATATTACGCCCCGCGGACGCCATGCCGACGGAAGCCGACCCGTACGGACCGTACGGTGCCGTACTTCCACAGACGACGTGGTCCAATCCCCTGGCGCAGCTCGCCGCCGCCAGAGCTGCCGCCGAAGAGTCAATCCCCGCTGTTATCACTTCAGGCTGTGCACCACCGCCAGGCCTGGATGAAAAAAACAAGGCGGTGGTGTTTTCTTGGGGCTGGGATTTTTCCAGCTTGCCACCTTCCCTGGCCGCGACCGGCTTCGTGGCGGTGTACGGGGATTATCCTGTACGACAGATGTGGAGTGGTAGCTACAGACTGCAGTACGGTGGCCCGGCCGGCGTCAGGTTCGGGGTCATATTGCAGTTGGGGGTCGAGGACGATGGCTCTGATGTCGGTACACGAACACGTACGGAGGCGGCAGCGGTTCGGGAGTTCGTTGGTACGGCGGATGGTGAGATGATGGTAATTCCTAACGGCGCAAGCGTCGTTGACGTCACCTTTCTAATGTGGGTACCGCCGCTGGAGTCTGTAGGCAATGTACCGGCGCTGAGCGCCGCCATCTATATGAAGAGCATGCCTGCGCCGCCATCGCCGCCACCGCCGCCATCCCCACCGCCGCCGCCACCATCATCGCCGCCGCCGCAGGGGCCACCACCGTCGTCTCCGCCGCCCCTCCATCGCAGCCCACCGCGTCCCCCAGCATCGATCTCGCTGTCTCCTGCACCTCTATCGCCGCCCACTCCGTTTCGCAACACCACAATTCCCCAGCACGGTTCCCAAACGGGATCTGACACTTCGGTTAAGGACCTGCAAAAAGGCCGTACTATGTTGCTGGCCGCGCTTACTGTGACCGTGTTAATAGTACTGTGGTGAACAGTGCCGTACATGCCGTACGTGTATATTAGTGTGTGGGGGCGAAGTTTGGTGAATTAAGAGGTACACGCCGTATACATCCTCAATGTTTTTGTGGGGGCGGGGTCAGAGCAGTAACGGTCCGACGTGGATGGGGGGTAAGCAGCAGTTAGGGAGTTCAGCAGCAGCCGCAACGCGTTTGTTGCACAAGAAAAATTTCACAGCACCCGTCGGGGTGGCGCCTTCAAAAAGCTTCAGATGTCGAACACGTCGGAAATGTGTCGCATATAATATAGCCCTTTGCAGTGTTGGGGGGTCCTAATCGCGCACGTGGTGAATATAGAGCAACAGGAGCTGTCTTGGCTATAGCTTTGTGTACGGCATTTGGATCAGATGTCGAGGTCTCTCCACAACAACATTTTTTTTGTACAATGCTAGTGTTTTATTGCTTCTATTGTCGGTTGACAGTTGTCGATTGTCCGGTGTTTTGTTGTGTGAGGATGTTCTACATACATAATGGCGACAGACATGCCTTTGTGACGTCGTGACAGCCGAACAGATTGGCCCGTGAACCTGCACAAATCAGCAGGAACGGTATGTGTGCTGAAAGCGGACTTTTGCTGGGCAGGTCATTAGGGCTGTCTTTTCCCAGTTACTCGTATTTGGGAAGTTAGGACCATAGGGCCCTCAGCGAACTGGTAGATTGTCAGTTGTATAGTGGCATGATATTATAAGGCCAGCAAGTACTGTACATTTAGAGTATCCAAGGATTTGTTCTTGGTCGTACATGAACGAAAGCATGCAAAGAGTCGGTCAGGAGGATTTTCCTTCTAACATTTATAATACACACACAAACACACATCTTCCCCCAGCCCCCAGGTACGGCAGTCATCATCATCCACGTTTCTTTTTTTCCTAACCCCCGGGGAGATTCCACCAATTTTATTGCGTATTGAGGCTACATGTGGGCACGATTTGACCTCAAGGTTCACAGAACCGGAGCACGAACACAACCAAATCTTTTGTTTTCGCCGTCATAGCTATACACTTCTTGCATCTGCGGATTTGAGGCGACTTTTCTGCTGCGCTGACTTCTTGGCTGCCTGTACGACACATGTCCACTGCGAGCTGGTGCAAAGTTTTCCTCTCGAATGTGCACGCAGTACTCACGCAGCCTCATTCCCACGAGCTGCGGGTCGGCAATGCGGCTCATTTCCATACCCCGTTTCATGAACTACGTGACGCAACCAAAGGTGTTGAGAAACAAAGGGGGCACAAATACAATGTGGATGCGTACCCCAGACCAGTACGCACCATCAAAGCTTTCCCGAGAGACATCACGTTGTGCAGATCATCAGTTATATCCTAGAGAGCTCACGCAGCCTCCAGGAAGAGGTGGTGATGATGACCCTCACACACTTTAGCGGTGGTGTTAAGAGTATGTTCCATCTTACCGACACACAACGCAGCGTCAAAGGGGAGCCATCCACATCCACATCCACATACATACATACACACAGACACAGGGAGCGAGAATGCACCGACCAACAGCGCGACGTCATGGGCCGGGACGGTCGTCAATACGCACTTCGCAGCATAAGATACCCCGCCCCCGTGCATCAAAGCCATATATGCCTCAACATGCCAATTACTTAGCACGTCTTGAGCGCGCAGCCACCTCTTAAAACTCCGCCAGGTGGGAATCGAAGCCAAAAAAGAGCGAGAACACGGAGGCAGACAAGCTCATAATGGAAACGACTTTTTTGCGCCATTAAAGCACCCTCCCCACCGACCAAAACGTCCCGTCGGCTATCCGGATCTGCTATTATGCTTCCGTGACAATGGCATCATCGGGTGTGTGCTTGTGCAGCTGCTCTTCCACCAGATTCCGGGCCGCCTGCCTGCTGCACTTCAGACCACATGAGAGGCCACACGAACCAGCGAGGTGAACAAGCGACCCGGCAATATCGATGGTCAACGCTGTTTCCCCACTCACCCTATTCGGACTTCTGCAGTCCCGACAGATGAAGGCCGCCTCCCCGATAGCCCCCACCCTGACCTCGCATGTTGCATGTGGCATAAGTCCGCGCACGGTGTGGCATTCTGCTTCCGCCGAGACAGTGAGAAAAGATGGCTATCCAAGGTATGAGAAGCCCGCTGACAATAGACTATTAGACTATAGACAGTAAAGGAAAAATGCCGGTTGGCGTCAGGGAGAATTACGAACACCTTTTCAAGTCGCTGAACCCGTACCGTTCCGTTCCCCAGCGCTGGCGCCCACGTCGCCCTCGGGCCATTCGAGAGCCTTCCTCTCTCCCTTTCATACGCAAAGAGACCCCAGCTTAGCTTATCGCCGTCCTTACAAGCGTCCTATGCCTGCCGTACAGCCCGTACTGCGATTATATACACACGCATATGTGGATCGGTCCAAAGACACACGGACGCACATGCGACGAGTTCATGACGTACTTTAATAAGAAATTGATGCGTGGGTGTGTGATGATTTGTAATCGTTGCTAAGTACCATTGCATACGCTGCGCCTTCGAGTATGGCGGAAACGTGGTGGGCCTTCAGCCTTGCCGTCGATGCCGATGCCACCACAGACGGCGCATCGGAGCGGCGAGGAGTACTGTTACTGGTCCTGCCAGCCCGCAGCTCACGTGCAGTCAGGCAGCCCAACAGCTCACGAAAAGCCGTTTGCCTACCATTGGTCCGTGACACGATGTAGAAGAACAGAAGTGGGCGCAGGGGCCGAAAAAGGGCAAAGACTAGCTGGGCACACGCTGCGAGACACTTCATATTCACATATCCCCCCCTGGATGCAGCTCCTGGCGGTGCACCCCCTCGCACGAGGCTGCGAGGCCGTACGACTGATATGCATTCAACACAGGGTAAGGTCATGCATGGACAAAGTCGCGCATGTCGCGAATGTTAGCTGTCCTGGTAGGGAGAGGAAAGTGGGGAGAAAGAGGACGCCGGTCAAAACCGACCGTCAAACATGCGCACACGGTTATGAGTCGCGGTCGAAACCTGCGCCGCGTGTGTTCACCATCGCCCGAGCTCTTGCTTCTTGCACGCCGATTATTCTTCAACCTTGCGGTCGGTCTCATTGTCGCGCCTGGGAACCTTCCTGGTTTGATCCCCTAGGACTCCGCTCGCCTCCACACCGCCGGCATCTGCTGCGTGCTGCAATGTAACCTCAGCCTGCGAGCATGGAAAGTAAACGGCGATTATAAAGGTATCAAAATTAGGGACTAGAATTAGAAGAAAAGAATTAGAGAACGAGAAAGGCACCAATCCGTCAAAAAATATCGCCTCAACGGAGCAGCAGGGCACTTAGGTTTGACACATCAGAGGGAACTGCGGCCGTTCGGGCGCAAGCCACGGAGCTGCACAAGACGTAACCACAATCAACCCGCGCACCTTGCGCTTGGCGGCGTTCGGCTGTTGTTGTTGTTGTTGCTGCTGCTGCTGCTGCTGCTGCTGTTGCAGCTGCTGTGTTGGTGGTGGTGGCGGGGGGTCCGCGGGGGCCACCAGCACGGTGGACGGTGTGATGGCATTCTTCTTGAGGTTTGCCCACGTTTCCAAGGCATGCATGGTGCTCCTGCAAAAGGGTCCGACCAGGCAACAGCAGCTCATAGACCTTCGAAGGATCTTAGAAGCTCCTCTAACTTAAAAAGCAGCAGACATAACACATGATGAGATACCGAGACCACCGAGACCACCAAGTGCCGCATATCAATCGTTTTGCGTTTTGCCAAGCACGCAAAAGAATTTACACTCTTCTTGACTTTCCAGCATAGCTTTGCTCGCTCTTCACGCCGGGGCGTTGCGCTTGACACACCCGGAGCACACATCCGCTCTCCGCTCATATGCTGCTGAGCCGGTTGAAGCCATCTTCGACCTCCCCCATCCCCTCATATAACAGCAGCGCAGGATCATCGTCCTGTTTATAGAGCGCAAACCCGTCCTGGGTCTACTGCCTGAACACCAGATCCACAACACCCAACAGCAATGCTACCAGCCGTGGAAACACACAAAGCAGAGAGCGAAAAAGAAGCGAAAATTTGTTATATTGGCCATGCCACCACGACACGGCCGTAGCACAGCTCCGCAAGGCAAAAGAAGCGAAAATAGGTTTTAAAAGACAGCGGAAGGAGCTTTCAAAAGTGCGTTACACGGCATCAATGATCCCTGGCGACCTAACCCGGGGGGGTTTTGGCCCACAGACTTTTAGCTTACAGCTCTCCCTCCCCCCCCTCCTTATAGAGTCAGCACTGGGCCCCGACTCACCCCACTAGGGGCTGCGAATGACCGCTGACGTCCCCAAAGCCGCCGCCGCCTTCACGGTCCGCTGCGATCGTCAGGGTCGAGGCGTCTGACGCCGACGTGGTGCCGCGGCCTGACGGCGCCGCTTCCGCCGCCGCCGCCGCCGGTCCCACGGCGGCCGTGGCGACATGTGCGTCCTGTACGGCTGACATGTCACTGGGCACACTGGACTTATCCGCCGACGGCAACGCCGTTGAAGTGTCTGCGGCCACGGCTGCTCCGCCAGCGGCGGCGGCGGCGGCCTGCAGCCTGGCGGAGCCGGCCCCGACTGGAGAGAGCTGCGTAGTGGCCACTACGAGCTCTTCCGCGCGTTTGGCCAGACGGCTCATGATGGTCGTTGAGGAGAAGGGCTGGAGGAGCGACAGAAGGGCACATGCGATACGCTCAGTTTGGCTGAAAGACAGACAGACAGACAGACGTACAGGAAAGCGGGACGGAAAGGAACTGGATGCATGAACGCGCGTTCTTCTGCATCTGGAACTGAGGTGGGAGCTGCACTGCGCCGCTGTCGCACGACGCTGTGCATCGGCGGCATATTGAACACATCAACAACAGGGTTGCCTGCGGCCAGCTGCTTTTGCTTCGCTCGGATGTGCCACCCACAACCGCCCACTCTGCCATCCAACCCAACCAAGCCACAAAAGCGTTACTCTTTACGCAACCAAAAGCAGCGCATACCCTCCGTGCCGGCATTTCCTTCCCCTCCGAGCCCTCCCCAGCAATCCCTAGGGAAACCCGTAAGGCCCACCTGCTGGAGTACGTTGGCCAGGTACGGCGCCCGCAGCAGTACACCCGTACGCTTGTCGTGTTTTTTGAGAATCTTAACAACGGCTGCATAATTAAGCAGGCTCCAGTGCAGCAGCAACACCATTTCGCCGTGAAATTGCACCAACCGAGATTTGACCTCTTGCAGCGCCGAGAAATGCGGCGAGGAAGAGGACGACGTCCCCGTATTGTGATGAGTGTGGTGATGATGGCGATGCGGACTGCGGTGCTGATGTTGGTGTTGGTGAGGGTGACTAGGTTGACACCCAGGCTGCTGCCGCTCTTGGTCTGACGGTGACGCGACCAGCCCTGCAAGCCTTATTACAGGCTCGCCGGCATCCCGCGGGATGACGTCCACCACATCCCGCAGCGCAGTACCACCTGCAGTACCATCCGAATGTGGTGCCGTCTCTCGCGGCTGCCGCGCCGGCTCCGCCTCCCCGAGCTGCCGCTGCGTCGATGTCGCAGCTGGAGATGGCCCGGCCGCGACCCCGGACGCCGTCCCCCCCTGGAGAGCCGTATCGTACGGGCTCCGTAGACATGTTGTCGCCGATATTATGGTTGTTGTCGTCTCGTTCTCATGCTCGAAGAGGACCGTGGCCGCGTTGGTGAGGGCCGCGGGGAGATACAGCCCCGCCGCCGCTGCGGCAGCGGCCAGCTCGTCACATAGTGCCTGCAAATCAAGGTGGGTAGGTAGGTTCCATCGCACGTAAAAGAACGCCATCCGCCGGCATAGCACCCAGCTTCGTAAAATTGTTGTTTATTTTCCGCCATCGTGGGGAGGAGTATGGACCAGCGCACTGTGTTCATTGGAGCGCAATTCTAGAAACATCAAACGACAGACACACGCCACGAGCCCAAAGGTAAAGATCATTCCCCATTTTACACCTGGACGCGGAGGCAGAGGTTGCACTTGGAAAGGTTGAGCATCTATCCGTCTCCCGTCCTAACGTACAGGAGCCCGGTGGCTTGAACGACAAAAACGGCGTATGGCTTTTGTGGCGTACAGTACTTGTGGCGCAATGCAGTGTTGTGCGGTGGTGGTGTGGTGGTCTGGTGCGCTACAGCACACACAGCCGTGATTGCGTGCAGGCCTGATGGCAAACAGAAACACTAGGTAATAGAACTAAATAAACGACCGGCAATAGAAGTCTTAAGCAGTGACCGGTTCATTGCCATCCGTTGTGACGATAAGAGCTCTGATGTCGCAAGTGCAAGGTGGCGTTACCGTTCAAAAGGCCTCTCCCTCCTAATGCTTCCCACGCATGTATGTATGTATGTATAAGGTGCTGTGCGAACCCTGTACCTAATCTGTCATACCTGTATACGAATAACCGCTTCTTCTTCCTTTTCAATAAAGAAGCGATTGAAGCGAGCCAAGTCCTGCATCATGTCGCACAAACGTGTTGTTGGAAAAGGCACTCACGCATATCTCTGGATGCGTTTCTTCCCCAAACAGCCGCCACCACCACCACCACCAGCATCAGGACCACCGCCAGCTTCCCAAGCAAACCCCATCGAAACACTGCCGGGTCGCGAAAAGGCCTTTCTTCTATGGAAAAAGCAGCCCCGGTGGCCGCCCTAACGGCGGCCTAACGCCCCAGGCAGTTGCGCACTGCGGCCGCAGCCGGGGCTTTGCAAGGCACAGCAAGGTAGTTACGCGAAACCCGCACTCCCCTGTTCTCCGTCCATTGCTGCTAATGCCCTCATAGTCCCGTGCTGGCCCTCTTACTGGTCTCTCCTGGCAAATCTAGGCCCTAGACTACTAGTATTTCCATCTCTCCCCCCCTCACCACACACACACACACACACACACACACACACACACACATGAATTCGAATACGCCCGGGTTCAGCTCAACCCACGGAAGGCTCGTGTGAGATGGCGAGAGCGTCGGAGAGGGCTGTGCGTGATAAGGAAATGTGTGAAACTACGGGCGCCCCGGCTTGAGCTGTTCGGAGCAGGTAAGGAAGTAGTGACTGTTACGAAAGCGACCCACATACCACCCCCATACCCACATACCACCCCCATACCCACATACCTCATTCAGGGTCGCGATGAACGCCTGTTCCTCGGGGGACAGCACCGTCGCCGTGATGGCCGCCTGGGCACCATTCCGTAAGGGACAGTGAGGGCGGGCGGCCGGGGGAGAGGGGAAAGCACGGAGGTGGGCATGAAAGAAGAGGGGGCAACGGCGGGGGCGTCTTTTCCTACATAGGCAAGGATGGCGGGCCCGAGAAAACATACACACACACACGGCGGATGCGGCGGTCTGCAGTCGCAGGCGGTGCTTTGAGCACATGTAATCCGGTTTCCGTGCCGGACTTGCAAGTAGGGTACTGTTAGGGTTATGAGGGTTGAAACGACGGGGCATTGTTGTGGAAGGGGGGGATCCACTGGTACCACGGCTGCAACCTTACCCCGGTGCTGCCGCTTCCGGTGGCGCTGCCTTCTGGAGAGACGCTCGCCTGCTTCTCACCAGCAGCTGTATCTGCGTATTGACCGATAAAGGAGTGCGTCAGGGATAGGGATGAGGAGCCGACACGGGCGCTGTACGCAAGGCGTGCATATACCTTTATTGATGGGTATCATCTTGATCTGTTTCTTGAGCTCTTTATACCGCAGGAAGAGGTCATGCATCTCTGCCGGCATGTTTTCCGAACTGACCTTCAAAACTTTGCCAAACTGCGCGGAACACACAGGCGACAAACCGGTCATGTCCACGCAGGGATTGGAAACGACTAAAATTAGAGCTTTCGTTAATGCGTGGTTGGCTTGTTGTGAGGGCAAACATTAACGTAGCAGTCCTCGCCACTGCCAAAAATGATGGCTTACACAAAAAAGATATAGGCAAAACCCTCCTACCTTCATTTTTGGTGTATTGATTGCAGAATCTGAGCCGTGCTCTAGGCGACGACTACGGGACTTAACTCACAGCTTTGTCTCAACTGAGCAAATCTGCAACACAGCCGACGGGAAAATTCGGTTACAGGTTAACACCTATTGGAAGGCTACGCCCTGGGCCTTTGCAAAACTCTTTACAAGTACAACGTAACCGAGACTGCCGCCCTCCTGTCCCAGCTCAAGGCCCGAGGTGGACACGCAGTTCCGCTCACCATTCCAAAGCTATGCCATACGGCCAAGATCAGCTGAATGCTCATTCCGCATGGATTGTGCCAAGCCGTTATGCCCAGCTCCAGTTAGCTCAGGAAGCACACAATATAAGACTTTTCAAATATAACATATAATATTTTGGCCTTGTAAACGGTTGGCGCGTTGGGATGTTTGATTTCTCCGTTTCTCTATGTGGACCCTCTGACACGTGAAAAACAAATTAGCCGGAAGATCTGCCTAATTGACGGGATAGGGGCCATCAATAAGTGGAGGTAATCTATTCGGTATACTTTTCGGTATTCTCTTCGCCGCGTCGAGATACTGTCAATGTGCCGCCGTTGGTGGTGTCGTACAGCACTTTGTCCCGGAATCTTTTCCTTGCGTGGTTGGGATTCCTCGCTCGCAAGATGTGCGATTCCATCAAAATATTCACATCGACACCTGCAAGAGATTATATTGTATGTTACATCAGTCAGCAAACAGCGATGGCTACATGGGAACAGCGTGACCGAAATTTGGAATAAGGCTACAAGGCGATAAGGTTCCAGTGGGGGACCCTTTGCAGGAAAGGAACTTCCTGAAAAAGGTAACTTATAACGTGTGCATTCAACATACTGTGGGAGCAATTCGCCGTATTATACCGACACGACACTTGAACTTCTAGGATTCGACGCCGAAGCCCCAAAGTCAAAGAGGCCACGAGGCAGTCCCAATGAAAAAATTCCATCTTTCAGCGAAAAAAGATTGCCGAATAAACCCTATAAAGAGCAAGAAAGGTTTCAAAGATGCTCGACACCCTAAGGGGGTGTTTCCACTTGGATTAAAAGTCGCGGATTAAGGTATTTTTAAGCCGCGCCAATCCACCGCTAATCCGTCGGAGTGTTTCATACGCCTGGATTAAGAAACGGATTGAAGTACGACACTTGCTCATTCCGTGCATAAAATGCAAAAACGAGTATTGCCAGACATTTAAAAGACTATCGAGTATCAACATGAAGGCCTTGTAGCACCTTTGAACGACACCCACGGTGTGGTGCATAATGCCGAACAAGAAGCACAAAGCTTCCACAAAACTAGGAACACCTACAGCCTTTATAAAGGATAACCTTCCAACCTATCACTCAGGCTTTTTATGAGGCGTCGTGAAAAGTGTTAATCCGAGACTGTCAATTTGATACCTGGTGGCCACCAGGTAGCAAATTTTTCGCACCAAGTTTGAGCTTTTAGTATAAGCAGAAAGCTCGCATTTCATAGCATATTAATCTATAATTAATCCGCGAAGCGCGTGAATACGGACGGAAATCTCTAACTAATCGCGCCAACCTTAATCCGCCTAATCCGTCCTAATCCGCGCGACGTTTCCATATGCGACGGATTAAGCCTTAATCCGCGACTTTTAATCCAAGTGGAAACACCCCCTAAATGAGCGAATCACATGCCAAATTACTGTTATAGATTTGGGCTGAGTTCATGCCTTTTTCCCGGCTTGCGATGAAGCTTTCAGATCGCCTAGTACGGAACTGGTCGCACGGCTCTGCGAAGGACTGGCCCATGCTGTCTGTGCTCTGTCTGTGCTCTGTAACTAAAAGCGCAGCCTTTGGAACAAAACTGCACGACTTCGCTTCCTCATCATTCGTGAGGACTCACACTATACATTCATGTACCAAATCTTGCTTTTATACTGCAATTCCTGCGTCAGCTAAAGGTCTGCGTCGGCCGGAGATTGGCCGCGCACACAATATTCTCAGCTGGGTGCTTGCGAAACAAGCCGGGTACCGACATGCTTGCAGCGGAAAAAAGGTGAGGGTCCCTCTGAATCCGTACAGCCCGGGTGTTTTGCTGCGCAAACGACGATTACTGCTGGGCGGTTCACTCCCCAAAATCCTGAACCCCTCTTTCACCTTCCCCTCCCTTCCCATCACACAAGAGCACCCTCACGAAAAGGGGGGAAAAGGGCAGGGAAATGTTGAAAAGAAGTGATTGCCACGCGCTTTCCCTGAAAACGTGCATTTTCGAGCTGTGGCCCCGCCCGAAACAACACCGATGATGCTCGCAGCGACAAATGTCAATTCGCGACAGGGCTCCTGCCGCCGTGCAAGAGCACAACCCCCCCCCCCACGGTCAATCGCGTCAAACAAAGCCGGTAAAGATGAGTTCCCCTGAGGAACATCCTCTCCGCCAGCCGCCTGGAAGTGGCAACACGCAGACTGCGGTTCCAAGGTTGGCCTGTACAGCAGTTGTAGTACGACCTAGCTCATCACACTACCACGGTCAACGGGTCATGTAAACTCAGGTCCAAGGGAACTTAACCATAACCCACCATTGCTACCCATGAACCATTGCTTAACTACTGCGATCTAACCCCACAGCAGGCAACCCCCACAGCTGCAAAGCTCGAACCATGCTTACGGCTTCCTGCATGCAAGATGTGAATCCAACACTTTGCAACATACACTCACGGCACTCGCACGGCACACCCACCCCAGGAGGTACTTCACTCTGCTTTCGCCCTGTTTGTCTGAGGGGTCTCTTTAACTCTAGGGTTTTTCAGTCATGTCTGGCCTGAGCTACTTCCACCAGTGCATTCTGATCAACTGATCTCAGTAACAGAACTTAAAAAAACACGCGCATAGCCATTCACAGCGCAGGCTTGTAATAAAAGATAAGGCATACAGTGAGGTGCCATGGTTTCACTTGCTACAACCTTTGCTACCGCCGCTTGGGATTGACAAAAACGCACATTACTTACACACATAGTGCATGGGCAGCACTACCAGTACTTGGTTCGGATACTCCGTACTAGCATTCACCCACTCCTTGAGAACTGACATGCCTGCACGCCTGCCACATCACAGCAGCAGCAGCAGCAGCAGCAGCAATACTTCCCACCAACACCGACCCACGCCTGCAGGATTAATTTCGTTATTGCGATTGAGGAGACGCCAAAGCAAAACCCTACACCCCTCGGGTTTCCCCCCCACACACAACCAAACACACACATACATACATACACGGAAGCGATCCCCAAGGTGATGGCACGTGACCAGTATGCGATGCAAATGTGGTTGTAATCCTGCATGTTAAGGTCACGCGCAAGTCCGTACATTCCTTGGGGCCAATCTCATTTGAGGTTTCGGAGCGCCTCCAAAGGTCAATCCAATTTAGGAAGTGAGGAGCTGCAGCACATTTCACGAGCACTTCACACTCTCGGACACTGACTGTGCTCCAAACAGCAAAGGAAACTCTCTATGCCGGGCCAGTCGGCAACACACACACACACTCTTACATACATACATAGATACACTCTCTGTCCATGCTAGCTCCGATGACAGCGGGTGCTGGTCGCAGGTGACCCACCATGTCGTTCCAGATGTATCGCCAGACATGTGCCTTCATGTGTAACTGGGAGACCGGAACGTGGGCGTCGGCAATAGCAGCACACGCTGCAGCTAGCTGCTACTGCCGAACGTGTGGAGATGGCCGCGGCCGCCATCGCACGTCACCCTTCTGCGGGCGACTCATCCAGGTCCTGCACATGCAGGGAAATGGGTTACACAGCAGCAGCCCGCAACCGGCGGTGGCGTTGGTTACGACGACCCGGCAGTAAGGCTGGGTGTGCAGGCTGCAGCATAGTCCACGCTTCGATGTAGTCCCCCATATAGCCCCCATGGTATTGGTGTGAGGAGACCTGGTATCATTGGCAGAATATCGTTGTTGTTGTGGCGGTGGTGGTGGTCGTGGTAGTGGAGAAGGTGGAGGCGGCATGGCCCCTGAGGCCACGAGGACACATTTGTTATTTGCCAAACCTGCGGCTCGGAAATCCTAAGGGCAATCAAATTCTTGCACATGAATGGGGCCCAGAAATTACCTGGAGCCTCCCACTCCCACCGCCAGTGGTTCGTCTTAACCCCCCCACACACACCCGAACCCACCAGTCCATTTCGGCTCGCAAACACATGCACGCACGCACGCAGCCCGCACCGTACCTGCGTTGTGCTCAGCAACAGGCTTCGGAGCGTCTGCACCTGACTAGGTGTGAGGCGCGACAGGAGCTCCTCCAGAGGTGAAGTCAGCTCGCTGCCGCCTGAATCTACTCCAGCATTGCGCCCGGTGTGAGGGCTGTCACCAGTGTCAGCGGCCGTGTCACCCGTGACAGCGGCGGCGGTGGCGGCGGCTGCCGCCGCGGCGGCAGCCCCATAGCCAGGCGGCACCTCCTCCTGCCGCTGCCGCTGCTGTTCCTCCAATGAAGGCGGCGGCTGTTCCGCCATCGTCGCAGCAGCCGCCACCGTGGCAGGCTGTATCGTGGCATCTGTATCGACACGTCTTGTAAAACCCTCGACGGAGGCGCCTGCGTGGGGTTGTTGCGGCAATAGGGAGCAAGAGGGAGATGATTAGGGATGAAATGCTCTACGTATGACCACGCAAGCGGAACAATAAGTCCCGTTCATGCCTGACGTGGAGGCGTGCAGAGCACAACAAATTGCACAGCAGACCACAACGAATCGCACAACTCGACTCGCAGCCACTCTTATTTAACACAATACAGACTGTCACAAACCATTGCTTCACCATTGCCATCTCCATCACGATACAAGGCATCACAGGATGTCGCACAGTCGTATAGAGTCACACTGTCCGCCGCGCCGCGCGTGGTGCGTGCATGCTGTGGCCCCACAGCCGGCAAGGTTCGCGACCCTTGTCTTCCGCCCACCCCACCCCACCCCACCCCACCCCACCCCACCCCACCCCACCCCACCCCACCCCACCCCACCCCACCCCACCCCACCCCACCCCACCCCACCCCACCCCACCCCACCCCACCCCACCCCACCCCACCCCACCCCACCCCACCCCACCCCACCCCCCC